TGCCTGGAGGCATGGTGGAGAGGGGACCCAGGACACCAACCGTGTGGGGTGGGCAGCCCGAGAGATCCAGGAAGGCAGGCCGCTGACAACTACATCTGTCATTTCTCAGTCATGTGCTCCTGGAGGGGTGGGGGAACCATGTTATTGATTCATCATGTGGATGATTCATCCCGGTCCCCCAGGCCACCTGCTAGGAGACCCTTCCTGGCCCTTTTTTTTAACTTTTCCTAGAATGTCCCTGCCCCTTCCCTAGATCATAGCTTCCTGAGTTCCAGGACTTGGCTGGAAGTGAGCATCTACCACGGAAAGCCTCCATGTCTGGGACTGGGGGTCTGGCTCTGTCCCCAGATGGCTCTTGCTTCTCCCTCACTCCTCCCCCCTCCCCACCACACATATTGGCCATCAGCACCTTTGCTGAGGCTGATAAGAGCATCTCCCCAAGGGTTGGCCAGCTTCCCAGAGCCAGTAGGTCTGGCCAGGAGGGTCATGACTTGCCATCCCTCCTGCCTGTTTGAAGAGGGTTGGGGGTGAGGCCCTTGGCCAGTGTGTATGTGTGTGTGTGGCTGGGGGTGCAGCAAACGCCCTAGGGATGGCCTGATGGGGGCAGGGCCAGGGCCTCCCTGTGCCGGGCACTGTTGACTGCTTCTGTCACAAGGGCCTTTTGTTTTCTGCATAGGACACACTGAATAATAATTCTCTGGGCAAGAAGCACAGTTGGCAGGATCGGGTGTCTCGGTCATCATCACCCCTGAAGACCGGTAAGTCTTCCTTCCCTTACCCGGACCTCCACCTGCCCTGACTCAGTTTCCCCTGCAGAGAGCAAACCTGGGCAGTCTCCATCTTGCCAAGTTGAGGTAAACTGCCCGTCCCATAGCCTGGAGCAGGCCCATCTGAAGTCAGCTGGGGTGGGAGTGAGAGCACTGGCCCCAGAGCCTTCCCCTGGTTTCTGTGTCCCACATGCTGAGTGGAGGGGGCAGGTGGCCTAGGAGTCAGGGACGAGTCCACCTGCCTTTAGCATTGACCTGCCTGCCCTCCAGGGGAGCAGACGCCTCCACATGAGCACATCTGCCTGAGCGATGAGCTGCCGCCCCCGAGCAGCCCCACCACCACCAAGGACCGAGGCACCTCCACTGACAGCCCTTGCCGCCGCAGCACCGCCACGCAGATGGCCCCTCCCGGCGGCCCCCCCGCCGCCCCGCCGAGTAGCCGCGGCCACTCGCATCGAGATCGCATCCACTATCAGGCGGACGTGCGGCTAGAGGCCACCGAGGAGATCTACCTGACACCAGTGCAGAGGCCCCCGGACCCTGCGGAGCCTACCTCCGCCTTCCTGCCGCCGGCCGAGAGCCGGATGTCCGTCAGCTCTGATCCAGACCCTGCCACCTACCCCTCCACCGCGGGGCGACCGCACCCCTCCATCAGCGAGGAGGACGAGGGCTTCGACTGCTTGTCGTCCCCGGAGCGGGCGGAGCCGCCGGGCGGAGGGTGGCGGGGGAGCCTTGGGGAGCCGCCGCCGCCTCCACGGGCCTCGCTGAGCTCGGACACCAGCGCCCTGTCCTACGACTCGGTCAAGTACACACTGGTGGTGGATGAGCACGCACAGCTGGAGCTGGTGAGCCTTCGGCCATGCTTCGGGGACTACAGCGACGAGAGCGACTCGGCCACCGTCTATGACAACTGCGCCTCTGCCTCGTCACCCTATGAGTCGGCCATCGGGGAGGAATACGAGGAGGCCCCCCGGCCACGGCCCCCGGCCTGCCTCTCCGAGGACTCCACGCCCGACGAGCCCGACGTCCACTTCTCCAAGAAGTTCCTGAACGTCTTCATGAGTGGCCGCTCTCGCTCCTCCAGTGAGTCTGCAGCAGGCGCGGTAGGGGACCTGGGGTGAGGGAGAGCCAGACCGAGGGTTTCCCTGGAAGGTGGCCTGGCCCACCTGCCTCAGGGCATCGGGACTGAGCACTTGCTACTGCCCCCCACTGCAACCTCAGCTGGAAGTGGGACGGTTCTCCAGCTCACCCCCCTCATACAGGTGCAGAGTCCTTCGGGCTCTTCTCCTGTGTCATCAACGGGGAGGAGCAGGAGCAGACACACCGGGCCATATTCAGGTAAGAGCAGCAGGGTTGGGGTACCCAGGCAACACTGGGGCCACCTGCCCCCACCCCCGTGCCCCTGCCATCTCTGCGTGGCCTGGATGCAGTCCCCAGCACTGGCATTCCTCCCTCCACTTGGCTTCAGGGGGATGGCATCCATCGTGGCGGAACTCAGAGCAGGGTGATGGGAGGGGATGGGTCAGTGCAGTGTGGCCTTTGCTGCATTGCCAGGGTCCGGGATGGAGCACCTAGTATGGCTGGGGGCAGGAGCCCCACAGGGCACCCAGCAGAGATGATGCCTGACCACACCAAGGCACACCCCTCACCTCCCTCCCAGGGAAGTGCTCCCTCCCGGTTACCTCTGTGTTCCCCTGAGTGGCTGTGGGCACTTCCTCCCTTAGCCAGCCAGCTCAGTGGCAGGTGCACGTCTGTGTGATCTTACTCTCGCCCAGGAACTAACATTATCACAGGCTCGGGAGACTTTGAGGGGGTTTATTGAACTAGTGCTGCTGTTGTGGCCACCTGACCTCAGAGCAGCGTGGTGAGCAGATGGCTCGGGAGGCCCTGGTGCTGAATTCCTCACGTGCCCTTGGTGGGGGACAGGTTTGTGCCTCGACATGAAGACGAACTTGAGCTGGAGGTGGACGACCCCCTGCTGGTGGAGCTCCAGGCCGAGGACTACTGGTACGAAGCCTACAACATGCGCACGGGCGCCCGGGGCGTCTTTCCTGCCTACTACGCCATCGAGGTCACCAAGGAGCCTGAACATATGGCAGGTAGTGTCCTTCCCCTCTTCGCCATTGGGCCCCAGTCTGCCCTTCCCTGACTTGCTGCCAGGAGACTTCACACCGTCAGGAAGGGCCCTCGCAGAGATGACATTAGGCCCAGCCAAGTTGGGACATCCGGGGTTGGTGGCCCCTCCGCTGGCACTTCCACTCCTCACTTCGCGCTTGCCTTCCAGCCCTGACCAAAAACAGTGACTGGGTGGACCAGTTCCGGGTGAAGTTCTTGGGCTCGGTCCAGGTCCCCTACCATAAGGGCAACGACGTGCTCTGTGCCGCTATGCAAAAGGTGCCTGTTCCCTGTCCCCCTTGGAGGGGCGCCCACCCCCAGCCCAGTCCCCCTCCTCTTCCGGGGAGAGGGTCGCCCAGCGCCTGATTCCTGTCCCTCACCCACAGATCGCCACCACCCGGCGGCTCACCGTGCACTTTAACCCGCCATCCAGCTGCGTCCTGGAGATCAGCGTGCGGGGCGTGAAGATCGGCGTCAAGGCTGATGATTCCCAGGAGGCCAAGGTGACTGCCCTGGCCCCGGCCCCCAGCCCCGCCACCAGATCTCCCACCCGTGGCCCCTGCGGGCTGATGATGCCCTGCCTCTCTTCTCTCTCCCGTAGGGGAATAAATGTAGCCACTTTTTCCAGTTGAAAAACATCTCTTTCTGTGGATACCATCCAAAGAACAACAAGTAAGTGGGAGGGGACAGAGAGCGAGGCCTAGGGGGGCAGCCCAGAGCCATTACGGTAGGGTGCGGGTCTGCAGGTATGCCTGGGGGGGTCTGGGCCCTCGTCCCGCCCTCACAGAGACGGCCGCCCTCCCGCAGGTACTTTGGGTTCATCACCAAGCACCCCGCTGACCACCGGTTTGCCTGCCACGTCTTTGTGTCCGAGGAATCCACCAAAGCCCTCGCAGAATCCGTGGGGTATGTCCGTGTGTGTGTCCTGCCGAGCACCCAGCCCTGGAGTGCACCCTAGTCCTCCTCACAGCTCTCCACACCTCGTGGCCTGGTGTCAGGGCTGCGGGGTCTGGAGGAGCCCCCAAACGTTTTGGTGGTTGGGCCCTTCCTTCGACTGAAGTCTTCCCCAGGAAGCACAGTGTGTAGAGAACAGAGCCAAGCAGCTCAGTTGGGGGGACCCTGAGCCCTACCCAGGGACCCCGAGGCTCCAGTTTAAAAGCCTTGGGTGGAGAGCCCGTTCTTCCCGTCACGTGTGTCTGCCTGCTTCCTAGGAGAGCTTTCCAGCAGTTCTACAAGCAGTTCGTGGAGTACACGTGCCCCACGGAAGACATCTACCTGGAGTAGCAGCGCTGCCCCACCCTCTACATCCCCCGGGCCCTCGGGCCCGCGGCCAGGACAGCTGGCTGCTGACAGGACACAGCACCGCTTGAGGAGGGGCACCCGTCACCACCAGAGGATGGGGAAGTGGGGGCCTCTGGCCGAGGGTGGGGGAGGGTGGGGTTTATGGGGAGAGGCAAATGCAGTTTATTGTAATATATGGGACTAGATTCATCTATGGAAGACAGAGCAGGCTGCCTGGGGATTGGGGGGTTGCTGGGCTGAGGGGTGTCAGGCCTCTGGCCAGGAAGGATGTCCATTGCAGGAGCAGAGGGTCCTGTTGTCCCGTCCTGGGCCTCACTTCCCCTGCTGGGCCTCCGGCTTTCTGGCAAAGGCTCCTGCTTTGACGAAGCCCGTGCCACCCGCCAGTGCCCACCCCCCCCCAGCTCCCAACCCCAGCCGGAGGCCCTGAGCTCAGGCTGAGCCCAGCCACCTCCCCAGGACTTCGCAGCAGGTGGGGGTGCGGTCCCTGTTCCCAGCTCTGTCACTTGTGTGGCCTCCGGGTGGCCGTCACGCTGGCCCCTGGCATGGGTGGGACCTCGCCAGGGAAGAAGAAAGCTGCGGCAGGGCCCCGTCCTGGCAGGAAAAGGAGGCTTCCCGACTGGCCCGGGCCAGCCAGGGCGTCTTGGCTGCTTTGGCCGTAGCCCGAGCTTGGTCCTGCCACCCTGGCCACAACTATTAAAGTGCCATTTCCTGTCTGGACCGCAGTGGGTGTGTCTCCGTGCCCCCTGGCCCCTGCCCCCCCGCTGGTGTCTGTGCCAGGAAAGCCCAAGCCTTTGCTGCACAGAATAGCTTTATAAGGGGCTCCTGTCACAGGTGTGCGTCGTAGTAATACTCAGCCATGTCTGGCCCGTCCCGCTTGCGCTGCTGGGCCCGGGAGAGGAGGGGGCGAGGGCCTCGTGGCCAGGGGTGCTTGGGTCGAACCCCATAGTCTAGGGAGAGAAGAGGGTGTGGGTGGCTGGGGGAATTGGCTGAGGTCACCCCAGAATGGTGCCATTTGGGATGACAAGACCCCCGTGGGCGCCCTCCCCTAGGGCACGTGTCCCCCATCAGGGTCCCGGGCAGGGCTGAGATCCTACCATCCACCAGGCCGGAAAGTGGCTGCGAGAGTTCCAGAGGGGCTGAGAATTCTTCAGGAACAGATTGCTGAGGCCTGTGGGAGATGTTGGGGTGCTCAGCCCTGGCTCTGGAGGCCACTACCACCTCCCTGTGAAGGCTCAGGGTGGAGGACTGGTGAGCCTTGACACCCAGGATTGTGGCGCCAGCCAGCCCCCCTCCGCGGGGAGGGGAGCGGGAGGCAGCACAACAGAGCCCCCCACCTGCCAGGCCCCAGGCCCTGGGGGCCCCTGACCCTCAGCCCCCCTCCCTCCCGCCCTCCCGGAGTTACCTCAGTGGCTGGGGGCGGAGGAGTGCAGCTGCCAGGATGAGGTAGAGGAGGAAGAGGCTCAGCCCGGCCCTGGGGTACAGAGCCCCCAGCATGGCGAGAACCATCTCCTACCCGGGTCCCTGTCCCGGGCTTCTGCTGCCCCTCCCCCCCAAGGACAGAACTGCTGCCAACCCCCAGGGCCACCTCACAAAGGCCGCTGGTTCCAGGGCTCGGTGGCAGCGCCAGCCCTACGGCTAGGCCCGAAACCTCCAGCTGGGGTTTGGTTTGGTTTGATTTTATTGACCCCGTCGGCCAACAGGTGCCAAACCACATCTGGCTCTAGTGTCCTTGCCCAAGGACTAAGGGCACAGACCTTTGGAGTCTGATCTCAGTTCTCATCCCAACCTTGCCTCTTACGAGGTGGACGTGTCACAGTTGTGCGCCTCCGTTTTCTCGTCTATATGAGGTAAGGTACACACGTGTGGGCCCGAGGTGTGGCCCACAGGGGAGGTCACACGGAGAGCCCCAACCATTCCCACTCTGCCGCTCGCCCCTGCCCATCCTGCTGCCACCACCGTCTCTCCTGGGTGACGCCAGGGGCGTCCTGCCAGCCGAAGGGCCCAGAGCAGCCCATCGGCCCTGGCCCACTCAGAGGTGCTGCTGTGGGGGGAGCCTAAGAGACTTCCCCACTATTCCCCGAGCTTCCAGCAGCCTGGCCCCGGGGCTCCACAGGCCCTGCCACCACCGCCAAGGCTGGACAGAGCGATCTGGAATTAGGTGGCAAAGCCTGCAACTTGCTGCCTGGAGTGGAAGCTTCCCGAGGTTGGGACTGGTTTTGTTCACCGCGGGAGCCCCAGCCACTCCTGGTGGATGCTCAATATTTGTCGAATGAATAAATGCAACGTGATAGCATGGAGACAGTCTCGTCTCAGGCTGAGGCAAAGCTGTGGGGCCCTTTGATTCCTGCCCAGCCGGGTTAAGGCCACATGGGCCAGCTCACGTCAGGAGCCGGAGCCTTCAAACACCCACCCCAGGCCCCATCCACACCTATGGAATCAGAGCCTGAGGGCCGAGCAGGGCTCTGCTTCGGAAACCCCGTGGCTTCGAAGACCGCAGACCTCCCGGGGGTCCAGCCCAGTCCTGTCACCGCCAAGGTGCCCGAGGCCCAGAGAGGGGCCTCCCTGGCTCCTGTCCTCAGGAACCCCAAGGCTCACGAGCGCTGGCATCTCCTTCACTGCAGACTGTGCCTCTGAGATGCCACCGTCTCCCTCTCCACGACCAGTCCTGAGGCCCGCCAGGGTTCCACCTCCACCCTGTCACACTCCCCCTGCCATGGCCTTCAGCAGGCTCCATCCTCTGTTAGGGCCCCTGCTGCCCGCCACTGCTCACCTTCTGGCAAGGTCCACCACAGCCCCGGCACCAGGCCGCTGGGAGGAGGTTGAAAGGGTCCTTTCTCCCTGCCCTCTGGAGGCAGGTCTTTTTCTCCCCAGGTCTGCGATGCCCCGTCGGATTTGGCCCAGATTTGGCCCATGGCCTCCCGCCTCACCCCTCCTGCCCCTGCCGCGGCCCCCACTGCTGTGACATCACGTGCCCGCTGTGCTGCACACAACCTCCCCTCCCCGCCCAATGCGGATGCAGGGTGGACACAGGGTTACCCGTTGGAAAGCCTGCTTGACCAGAGGCCTCCCTGCCGGCGCGCCCTCCGCGGGTGTTGGCTAGGCAGCCAGCACCCCCGCTGGCCCACCTCTGCCCTGCACTCCCGCAGGTACACGCTTCAAGCTATTGCCCACGCCCCGGCGGGCCGCGTTTATCTGGGCGAGAGCCCGACAGCAAGGAGGCCTGCTTCCTCCTCGCCGCATGCGCAGCACCAGGCCCAGCGCCCGCTACAGGGCAGGTGCCCGGCGAAGGTCACTGCACTCAACGGAAGGTCAGGCCTCAAGCTGTGAGCACCGCAAGGCTTGTCCCTTCACCTTCCGGCCCAAGAGCTGGGTGAGCCTTCCCCAGAGGTACCTGAGGGGAGCAGAGGGAGGTGGCACCCCCTCCCAGGACGTGAGGCAGGGCAGAGGCTGGTGCAGATGGAGCCCTCAGAACTGAAGGGCCGCTCACCGGGCTAGAGACTCTAGCAAGAGAGTAGGGTCTGTCCAGAGGGCAAAGGGGACGGGGCGGAGGCTGAGGAAGGCGACAGTCCGGGCAGAAGGGCTAGGCTGCAGCTGCTCCATCTGGGCCCTTGCACCCTCCCCAGCAGCGTGTGTGGCTCCAGGAGATGTGGCCACCGGGAAGCTGGCCGAGACCCCAGCTCATAACCCCTGAACCTGCACCCGCTTCTCCCCAGAGCCTCTTGGGCTCCCGGACCTTCCAAGTCCACCCCCAGCATTGGCCCCAGGGCTGGCTGGTGCCTGACCTCCTCTGCTCACGGGAGAAGACCTCTTGCTGTCAAGTGAGGGCTCAGGGCTTGCAGTGTCCCCGAGCCACACCGGGCCCACCTTTCACCCGCTCCACCCAGAGAGGCTGGCTTGCAGCCACCACCTAGGGTGGCGGGATCCATAGGGTCCTGGAGGAAGGGGCAGAGGCTCTGGCCAGAGGACAACAGGCAGCTGTCGCCCACTGCCCATTCGGCCTTGTCTGTTGTCACCAGGGACCAGTGAGAGGAGCTGTAGCTTCCCACGTTCGATGAGGCTAAATCCCAGGTTTCTGTGGCCAGAGGAGCCCAGGTCCCAGTCTTGATGGAGACTTCTCGGCCCAGGGACAAGTGCGAGCAGTAGCAGCTCCATCACCCAAGGGTGAAAAGTCGAGGTCGTCAGGGGGGTGCTCTGCTGGCCAGGCGGGGTGCTGGGAGCCCTGGGCGGCGGGCATGGAGAGGCCACATGCTCGGGCGCTGCCAGTCAGTTTTATTAGGGCAAAGGGGCCCCGGGGAACTGAACGGCCCAGGCACCCCCTGCCCACAGCAGCAGAACGTGCCGCCCTGCCCCTCCCTGCACCCACTCCCGGGATGTGTCAGCCCCAACTGTAGAAATAAATCTTCTGCCAGGTGGGCAAGTAATCCATGAGTGGCCCTGCAATGAAAGAGAGTTCGGGGCTGAGGGCCAGACTCCAATCTGACTCTCCTCTACCTAAGGCCCTTCTGAGCCACAGCTGCTCAGTACAGCTGCTCACATCTGCCCAGCCAGAAGCCCAACTGACTGCCCCGCCTGGCCGCCCCTAGGGAGGCGCCATGGGTAGCAACCTTGGTCTCCCTTTGCAAAGACCTCCTCTGCTGAGATAAGAGCTCCAAACGCCTGGTGGGCTCCAGCTCCGCCAGAGAATCCCTAGAGAAGCCAGGGGTGTACAGCTCCAGGATCTTGGCACAGGGCAAAGGCTGACAGCCCGGGGTGGTCCAACACTCCCTCCCAAGACAGGACACCCTCTTCCAGCCACCCCTGAGGCTCTATGGCTCAGGCCTGGGGCCTGCCCAGAAGCTGTCACCCACCCAACCTGACATCTGGGCTCCCTCTCCTGATGGTGTTAAGAATCAAGTTTCAAGAAGATTAAACAAAAGACCCGGGGCCACTCAAAAGATTCATGATATTCGGTAACCGTCACACCCTATCCCATACTCACTTGCGACCAGGCCAATGCCCGGGACGTGGTCTGTCAGCAGCTGGAGCAGGAAGAGGATCCTTGCCCTGCAGAGAGAAGACAAACAGGGAGCAGGCTGAGTAGGGTGGCCTGGGTGCCTGCAGACCTCGGTACAAGAGGAGGAGAGCTCTGGGCCACAGGCCCGGGCCGCCCACAGTTCAGCTTTGGGCAGGTGGCTTACTCACAGCACCCCAGACCCTCCTCCCACTGCTCTCCCCCTCATCTTGCCCTTCCAGCTCCTGAGTCAACATGCTCCACGTGCGGGACAATCCCAGCACAGGGTCGATGAGGGCCCCAAGGGAAGGACAGTCAGAAGAGCCGAGCCACCCTGAAAGCTCACAAGCCAATGTTGAGTGAACAGGTTGCAGGGGAGCACGCAGTCTGAGGGGGGCACCCTTGGCGGAAGGGGCAGGCCCTATTTGTTTCAGAGACAGGGCCTTCCCCCAGGAGAACGTGGGTGAGACAATGGCGTTCGGGATCGTAACGAGAGAAGCAATGGTTAGATTCAGCATTTGTTAAGTGTTTCTGCATTAAGTGCTACTGTAGGATGAGGTCAGTTAAGACCTCCAACAACCCAATGAGGTGGGCACTCTCATGTCCCCATTTTACAGATGAGGGACAGTATGGTTCAACCACTTGCCCAAGGTCACACGACAGGCGGGCAGCGCAGCTCGAGACATACTCGGTCTCTGACAGTAAGGAAAGGGGGCTTCCTGTCCTCTAGGGGGACCAGGAATTTCTCTGGACAGGTTTCTAGAACTTTCTCAGTCTGGGTCACTGCTGTAAGGGTGCTAGGCTGCTCAGGTCGGCAGGTGCGCATGCCCCACTAGAGGCCTGCTGCCTGCAGAGCCATCTCTGCATGTACTGTCACCTCAAAATGCCTCAGTTCCAAGATCCTGGGGCTACACTTCCTCTGCAAAGTGCAGGCTGTCTGTGGGGAAAGGTCATATGGTCCCTGTATGTCTCTGGAATATTCCTTCAGCACTAGGAATAGGATTTGGCTTCAGTACCTTGTGAGCTTGCACTAATCTGAAAAATAAGAATTGCTGGGCCAGGCTTATTTTCACCAATGTGGTGCAAACTTATTTCCTAATGCCTCAAAAACAAAGCAAATCAAACCAAAGCAAAACAGAGGCTGTGTGGTCTTAATACTAAATTGTAATTCTAGGAACGCCTGGGTGGCTCAGTGTTGAGGATCTGCCTTTGGCTCAGGTCGTGATCCTGCAATCTCGGGATTGAGTCCCACATCGGGCTCCCCGCAGGGAGCCTGCTTCTCTCACTGCCTATGTCTCTGCCTCTCTCTCTGTGTCTCTCATGAATAAGTCAATAAAATGTTTTTTTTTTAAATCTTCAAAAATAAAGTATAAATAAATAAATGTATGTATGTATGTATGTAATTCTAGTTATTATTCTTCTAGCAGAGGACTAGTTAAGACAGATGGAGGGGGTTCCAGGAGCCCCCGGTCTATCTCATGACCCCTGGCATTGTCCAGAGGGACCCCTCCTCAGATCTGTCTGCCCTCAGGCAGTCACCTGGCAGGCCTTGGGGAACTTGCCCCCAAGTCCCCCTTACTTGCCACCAGTAGGCCCTCTGTGTCTGGCTGAAGCTGGAAGCTCTGGACCCTCGAAGGTGACAGAGCGGGTGCTGGGCATGGTAGGGACAGGCCAAGGGAGAGCACAGACGTGGCACCTGGCTCTGCCACTGGCTGGCTGGGTGGCTCTGTTTAAATTTCCCTGAACCTCGAGGGCCTCCTCTGCGAAGTGGGGATCCGGACTACCCCACAGGAAGAAAGTTCGCACCCGCCACCATCCTGGTAGCCCTGCCCTCCGTGAGCTGATGCTGCTTAACTCCTGCATGCATGTGCCCACGGCCTGCCAGCTCTGGGGCAGGGCTGGGCCGAGCCAGGGAAATGGCTACACCCAGGACAGCACACAGTGGGTGCTCACTGCCCAAGGATGGAGGAAGTTGGGAGGAAGGGAAGGCATGCACAGGGGCTGGAGCCGAGAGTGGGCCTCGCCACTTGCAGGAGCCTGTCCTCACTCGGAGAAGCGGTCGTAGAATGGGGAGCGCAGCAGGTAGTAGAGCAGCAGGATGGTCCGGCGCCGTAGCTCCAGCCGCTCCCTCCGGGTCAGGCCCTTCCTGTCGCTCAGAAGGCTCAGGCTGGAGGCAGGAAGGGGCACCAGTCAGGGCTAGCAATGGGGGCCCCGGTCTGCTCAGGTGAGGACAGGCCTGCAGCACGAAGCCCGGCAGGAGTGCACTCCCCAGGCAGACCCAGGCTCACCTGGTCACGTCCACGACGCCGGACAGGAGCCAGGGTGTCCACGACCGCTGACCCCACAGGCCCAGGCTGAGCACTGACGGCCAAGGTGTCAAGGATGTCTCCAGCACGTGGTCCACCCGCCCGCCCCACTCCTGGCCCGCCCTGTAGTGCCAGGCAGCCGCAGGCAGAGGATACGGTGCAGCAGGGGCCGGGCAATATACAAGGACTCGGCGATGGTCTCCTGCAGCCCCAGTGGGGTCGGGGGAACATTCAGCTCCTCGCGCTGTTGCTGCTGTCGTCCCTCCCGCTGCTGGGGGGCTCCCCAGTGCCTCGTGTGCAGGGAGGGAGCTAGAACACAAAGGCAGCTGATGAGCAGTCAGGCCGTGGCTGACCTCAGCACTGAGGTGCCCAGGCCACTACATCCTACACTTACTATTCTGGAGGGTTCGTACCACTCGATTTGACCGCTTCCCCACGTATGACTGCTCCTGGCTGCCACTGCTCTGGTTGCCATCTAAGAGCAAGGACAGAGATTCTGTCAAAGGGACATGTTTCCAGCAGAACCTGCAGAGAACCTGCATGCAGAGAATGCTCACAGGCTAAGGGGAGAATGGATGGACATGGAAAAGCCTGCACTAAGGCGGCAGCTGAGGTGCTCTGGTCAGCACTCCCCCTGGCCTGGGCAAAGCCCAGCATCACCCAAGGCAGGGGAGCTGCCCCAAACCCAGGCTTCCCAGGGACTGGAGTGAGGCCAGGAAGGCCCAGCCCAACCATAACTGTGTGGACCACAGCACCAGAAGGGCCAGGTCTTCTCGGTCCCTTGCTTGCAATATGACCAGGTAGAGAAACAAAGAACGGTCCCCACTGAAGGCCAGAAGCGCCAAGCCCGGTGGCCAACTGGTGAGGAGTCCAAAGCCCTGAAGGGACAGATATGTCAAGTACCCTGCCTCATGCAACTCTTGAAATACAGAACGAGTCCCAAAGACATGGTTGGCAAGACCTCTGTGTCCTATTCATGCTTCGCCCCCTATTCCTGCCACCCACAAAAAGGAATGAGGACTCTGGTGCCAGTAGTTCTGAGTCCAAGTTCTGATTTTGCCCCTCGCCTAATTTTTCTTTTTCTCTGTACATTACAGGGTGATGAGAGCAAACTGAGCTGATGGGGACAGATGTGCTCCATAAACAGACAACACACTACTCCTGCTGGCCTGCTCTGAACCCACAAATTAGTTCCATGTCCCAGGCCACTCCAGAGTACAGAAGCAGCTTACCTGGGGACTGTGCCTGGGTCTCCCTGTCCAGCGGAACGATGGGGGGTGAGGTCTGGAGGCCAGCCTTGAACCAGATCAGCAGGAACATCCGCAGGACAGCCCTGGGTGGGGAGTGCAGGGGAGGCAGCTAGCCCCGGGGGGTCAGGGGTGCTCTTGTGAACCCCATATGAACTGCTGGTCCCGAGACACCCCGACCCAGGGCCTGCCCTCCTCAGTCCCGACATACTTGGCCAGCTGGATGAGGGCGATGACGAGCCAGCGGCCCACTTCACCCCACACCTTGGCGGCCCCCATCTCCATGAACACCTCCACGCACTCCAGCACACTCAGCCATGTCAGCATCTTCTGCTGGGACAGAGGCTGCAAGGACCCCAGGCCCAGAGGTCAGGGTTCGGGGGTGGGGGGCTGCCCCAGGCCCTCCCCCCTAGGAAGCCTGACAGGAGGAGTGGACTTTTCCCCTAGAACTGTAAGTGCAGGCCTGAGTTCTCCAGGTGGGACCTGCTACTCGATGTCTCTGAAACTCAGTCTCTTCATCAGAGGGGCACTGACAACTCGCTCCTTCACCTAACGAGATGGCTTGAAACTCAGACGGACGGAGGCACGTCTCACGCTTTGAGACCACAGCCCATGCTACATACGTGGGCTGCTGGTTACTCCTTCACTCTTAGTCCCTGTGCTTCCCGCCCGCAGCTCCCGATGGAATTCTCACCACAGGTAACTTTTTCCGAAGCTCTTTCCGCAGGATGCCATCGTTGAGCAGCACGAGCAGGTTAGAGGCAGAGTACACTGAGGGGGATGGTGTGGCCTTGAAGGGCTGGTTCTGCAGCCTCGACACCCTCCCCTTCTCCCCAGGGCGGCAGCGATCACCTGTCACTTGCTCCGCCCACTGCAGACTGTGTGGAAACCAACCTGCCTCCCCACCCACCCCCTCCGAGCTCCACACTCCCCAGGAGGATCTCGTGTGGGTGGCTGGAACAAGAAAGGATGGTTTGATCTCGGTGACAAAGCAGCTGCCGCCCTGCTGTTGGGCACCGGTCACCTGGCGGCTCCATCTCTCCCTTCACTACCTCCAGTGCTCCCTGGGCAAACACTCCTGAGGCAGTTACAGTGTGGGGCTCCTTGAATGTGAGAAATCCGAGTTGGAATCCTGGCTCCGGGATCATCAGTAGCTGTCCCCTAACCTCACCGAACTTCTGTCCCCTCAACCGGACACTGAAGACCGTAACAGTACCTACCTCATAGGACTATAGGGAGGATTAACTGGGCAAAGGCAGGAGAGGTACTTGGCCAGCTGCCCGACCAGTCAAGGCCCCCAGATTGGTCTCCCGACTATGGGGACACGGAGGGCCCAAGACAGTGGCCGCTGGGCCTTGTCCGATTCAGTCACAGCACAGGACGATCGAACGGAAAACCTAGGACTGCGAACCCGGCGGTCGCCCCCCGCCCAGCCCAGAGCCCCGCTCACCCAGCTCCGACAGCTCGTGCGAATCGGCGAAGCGACCTGGGGAGAAGGCACACGAGGGGGCGGTGAGTATTTGCCTCAGCCTGCGGCTTCGGGGCCCCGGACGGCCCCTCCCTATGCCCTACGGGAACCTGCAAGGTAGTTCTCAAGCACAGCGATCACTACCCCGACTCTGAAGGGAAGGGGCCGGCGGGGTCAGGGGTCAGAGCCCCGAAGGGGTGGGGCAAAGGTCAGGGTAGCACCTGCCAGCAGGTAACTGAGGCCCCGCACTGCCGTCTCCAGCTGGGCCGTGGCGGCCGGGTGACGAGTCACGTACTCCTGGTAGCGGAGGCTCAGAAGCCGCAGCTTCTCCATCCTGCCCTCGGGACCGACAGACACACGGACCGACTGTACGACGGGCTGCAGCACCCTGCTTCCTGCGCCCTCCTTCCTGCTTCCGGTCCTAGGCCCGCCTCACCGTTGCTCAACTTCCGAGGGCCAGAAGGGTGGTGACGTGAAGGGCCATTGAACCACCCTTCACCCCATATCTTAGGTCACCTCCCACTGGGGTAGCGCTTAGCAACTGCGGGCCTGATCCCGCCCTCCTTGCTCCTTCAGGTCATTGGCTGACACACTCTCCGCCCCCGACCCTCCCGGCGCTGCTGGAACCGGGGTTTTCCGCCTTCCGGGTGGGCTGCTCTTGCGCCTGCGCAGTTAGCAGTTCCAGGGCCGCTCCCGCGGTAGTCTGAGCAGTTCATGCCAGAGCAGGGACCGGGACCCTGGAGTCTCTCCAATGGAACGCCGAGAGGCTCGAACGGGAGGGCCGGATTTTAAAGGGCCGGGAGGTAGCTCGCTAAAGGAACCTCGATCAGACTTGGGGAGGCGCGAGGAGGGTCTTGGCAGAAGCCCGTTTGGCCAGTTGCCTCGTCTCCCGTCCCCCACCAGAGGTAGTGCTGGGGAAACTGAGGCAAGGAAGAGTCCAGGCTTCCACGCGGTCTCGATCCCCTGGTCAGCACTGTTAGTGCAGGGCTTCGGCCACAGCTCCCGCATGGACTGTGCGGACGTGCACTCCCATCTTCCCGGAAAAAACTCCGTTTCGGGCTTCCGCTCTTAGCCGAGGGGTGACCTGGTCGAGTGTTTCCCTTCTCTGGGTCGCGAGTTTTCCCATCTGTAAAATGGTTTGAGGGGAGGCTTGGTCCTCGAAGTCGGCCTCAATCTCAAAGCGCTTTTCGGCCCACGGGTGCACCTCCCGGTCCTCAGCTGCTCCCCAAGGGACGGGGGAGACTCCTGGGAATCTTCCCAAACCGGGCGGCCTCCCTAGAAGGGGCTGTGGCGGGAGAGGAGCGGCGGGAGGTAGGGAGCTGACGCTCCGGTGAGGCCGCCACTGATTGGCTGTGGGCAAAGGGGCGGGGCCTGGGTGGGGTCGCGGGGCTGAGCCCGCGGGGACGTGGCCCTCGGGGTCTTGGTACCCTGAAAGTAGTAGTACATTATTTTGCCCAGTTCCCTCTACGTGGTACCTGCAGGTGAAGGGGAAAGAGCTGCTTACGAACGAATCTTGGTCTAGTCTGACCACAGAATCTAGGCGGTTTTAAGCAATGCACCTTTCTAGAAAGCCACAGCCCCTCCTTGCACTTCCCCTCCCTCCCCCTCCTCTCCAGCTTAGTTTTCTTCTATATCGGGAGGGGAATCCTAGCTGCCCTCCTCACTCATGCCAAGCACTATGACCCAGGGGGTTGTGTCCCGGGGCCTCAGGAGAGGCTAAAGGTCTTGGAGAACAGAGGAGGTGGTGGCGGGCAACATCGTTTCTCACCACCTCCTGGGTGCCAGGCCCACTCCTACACCACTCCTGGCAACGTTGCCAGCTAGGTATGCACTCTTTCTCACAGATGCGGAATAAGAGGCCCAAGTAGTTGAAAGGACTTGTCCCAGGTCACATAGCATGGCACTGGCCAAGTGGACCACAATGTGTGTCTCCCACAGCAATGCCCTCTCTCCTACTGCCCACAGCCCAGCAAGGGCAGTGACACATTGAGGCTACTTGGTCCTGAGTCGAGTTAGCAGCTGGGGTTAAAGACCAGGACTCAGCACATTCCATGTGAGGCTTTCTCCTTTCCTCCTTATACCCCACCATCTTTTTTTTTTTTTTTTTAAGATTTTATTTATTTATTCATGAGAGACACAAGGCGAGAGAGAGGCAGAGACACAGGCAGAGGGAGAAGCAGGCTCCATGCAGGGAGCCCGACATGGGACTCGATTCCGGGTCTCCAGGATCAGGCCCTGGGCTGAAGGCGGCTCTAAACCCCGAGCCACCCGGGCTGCCCTGTACCCCGTCTTAATGAACATGTTCCCGAACCTCACCAGGGGGCACTCCTCCAGTCCCTCACTCTGCAGCCTCTGCAGCAATGGAGAGAGTGAGGACTGGGAGTATGAGGTTTCTTTGACATTCCCAGGGCTGATGGTCCCGGGGTTCTGGGGAGAAAAGGTGTGGAGGACAGAGCAGCAGACCCCCCCCCACACACACACACACAGAATGAGGAGCACTAGCATCTGTTTCTCCTCTTCCCTTCAGGACTGGGAGGGGAGCACGGGCCCAGCCAGTTTGGCAGCAGCACAGCTGCCTGAATTTCCTCCCCAGATCTCAGGCCTGATTAGGTCCCAGAAACAAAGAGTGGCCGTGTGTGCAGGAGGCACCCAGGGCAGCCCCTCCCTGCCCGGTCCCTGCCTGGAATTGATCACCTGGCTGGGCTAGAACGGCCTCTGGGCAAGCTGGGCCAGAACTTCCCTCCTTCAGTCCGCCCTCAGCCACAGGAGAAGAGAGCTAGACCAGCCGGAATGAGGGAACTGAGACCCAGAGACCCAGAGAGGGGGCCTGACTGGGCTCAGGTCACACAGCAAAGTCCTGGACAAAGCTGGGTCAAACCAGGTCTCCGTCCTAGAAGACCAGCACCCTTTCATGTGCCCACACCTGTCTCCCACTCCCCCTGCTCCCGAATAACCTCTGGAGGACCTATAGCAAGCATCTCAGCAGGGAACTGCCCCTGAGTGGTAAGGTTAAGCCAGGGGTGGGGCCGGCATTGTGAGTAGCTACAGCAAGTTCTGCAGCCCAGGATCCTGTCTCTACCCTCTTCCTCACCTTTCTTACACCACCCCCGTCCCCCGTCTCTGTTGAGAGTCTTGGGGAGGTAATCATTCCCACCCCCCACTCCAGCTCCAGGCTAGAGGTGAGGGTCAAGGGGGCTGGAAGCTCAAAGCTCCAGAGGCCAGGAGGGCCCCTGCATCCCCTCATCTCCTCTTAATTCCCAGATGTTCAGGGAGCCACCATTGGTCTCCATGGCAACCACTACCCCTGGCCTCCAAAACTGGACCTTCCTGGAAACCCCCATCTCCCTGAGAAAGGCATCCCGGCATCTTGGAGGAGGAGGCTTGAGGGGTCTCATGCTGGACTGCTTCCCACAGCTGCTTTGGGGGTTAGGGTCTCTCAGACCCTCACTTTTTACAAAAAAATTTTAAAAGATTTTCTTTATCTATTTGAGAGAGAGATTGAGAGCACAAGCAGGGGGAGCAGCAGAGGGAGAGGGAGAAGCAGAGTCCGAGCTGGACGAAGGGCTCCATCCCTCCATCCCGGGACCCTGAGATCCCCATCTGAGCTGCAAGCAGACACCAACCGAGCCACCCAGGCGCCCTGGCCCTCACTTATTATAGGTGAAGTTGGGCTAAAGGGACCCGGGTCACCGAGAGACCTCTTGCGACTCGGCCACTTGCAGCACATACTTCCCTCTTGGTGCTGCTGGACCCTGGGGGGGGGGGCTCTGGGGCCCAGGGCAGCGCAAGATGGACAAGGCTCCAGTTCCATGAGCAGCCTTCCCAAGAGGGAGACCTGCTACACACAAGTCCACAAGGTGGACTTCAGAGGACTGCTAGGAATAAAATAAACCAAGAGATATAGAAGGAGGAGCTGGCCTTGTGAGAATCTGGAAGAATCCAGGCAGAAGGAACATCCAGGGCAAGTCCAGGCCCAGGAAGGCTTTCCAGAAGAGCAACTGGACACTTTGCCTTCAGGGAAGGGGCCTGGGGGAAGGGGTGGGTGTTCTAACAGGTCCCTTCTGGGAGGGGACTGAGACTTGAGGCTCCTCAAAGCTCAGCTCCGGGCCTGGCTCAGTGTGTGCTCGGTCAACCGTGACTGTCGTTGTTCCGGGCCAGAGCGCCCACCTCTCCCTCCAGGGCCGAGGCCAGGCTGCGGCCTGCTGTGGGGTGCTAGGTGGGGCACAGTTAGAAATACAGCCCCGACACCAGGCACGATGCGCAGGTCCAGGCAAGGGTGGGGGGTTCTGGTTCCCGCTTCAGTGAGGCCCCAGGCCAGCTCCGGGGCCGGAGACGACCTTCGCAAGGCGGCTTTGTCCCGGCCGCGCCGCCAGGCCCGCCGGCCAGAAACGCACGGGGCGGAGCGGCCGGGAGCTCCAGGTGCCCCGCCTCCAGGGCCCGGAGCAGGTGTCCCTGACCCCCGAGGCCGCGCATTCCACTCCTTCCTCCTTAGCCCCGGCCTTCTCTTTGATCCCGGGCCGGGGTCACGGGCCCCTCCCCCGGTGGGAGTTTTAGGGGAGGAGATGGGGCCTCTGAGCTGGGAAGAGGGGGATGGGCTCGGGGCAGGTGGCGGGGACTGGGCCTTCCCGGGTGGCTGCCCCCGTTCCCTCCAGCCATCCGGGGAGGTTCTCCGGGTACCTCCCGGGATTGCGGGGAGCTCAGGGGGAGGACCGTCGGTGCCGGAGCAGGGGCTGGACCCCCGGGGGGGTCCCCGCCCCTTTGGGCTCAGCCGCGCGGAGGTGAAACCTGAACCCAGGTTGGGGGCGGGGCTGGCTCCTGCTCGGACGGGGCTGGCCTGCGCCTCCACCCCTGGCCCTGCACCCCGGCCGGCTTCTGGAAGCGGATCGTCGGCGTCCCCGAGCCGCTGGAGCAGGTGCGGTGGCGACTCAGGGCGAGAGGGAGGACGAGGCGGCCGTCGGGCCCGCCGCCCCAGGCTGAGCCTCCAACCTCCGCCCGCGATCCACAGGGACAGCGATGGAGCCCCCGGCCCGGGGTCGCGCCCCGCCCTGAGCCCCCGCCCGCGGCCATGCTGCCCCGAGGGCGCGCCCGGGCGCTGGGGGCCGCCGCGCTGCTGCTGCTGCTGCTGCTGCTGCTGCTCCTGGTCGGATTCTTCCAGTTTGGCAGAGACGGGAAGTGCGAGTGCGGCGGCCCAGGCGGCGCGCGGAGGGACCCGGGCTCCGTCCCCTGCACGCCGACGCCGTGTGTCTCCCCGGGCGGGCGGCCGCGGGGCGCCGCTGCCGTCGACGGGGACCGGCCTGCGCACCGCGGGGGGCACAGCCGCCCCGACTGCGTCCCGCCGCGGCCGCCGCTGCCCAAGTGCGAGGTGGGTGCGCGCGGCCCCGGGCGGCGGGAATCTCGGGGGCGCCCCCCCGCCGGCCCCCCGGGCACCTGTGGGAATCCCTGCACCTGGCGACGCTCCGCCAGGTGGCTCCGGACTGGCCGGCTGGTGGGGGACGCCTCCCCCGCTCCCGGCCTCAGTTTCCCCATCTGTGAAATAGGGCTGGACCCCGGCTCCGCACGCCCCCGCCTCTTCCTTAGCTCTGTTGCGGGGCGGGGCTTCGCTGCCCGCGGCCCGGCCTGCGCCGTCCTAGGTCTTAGCGGCTGGCGGGGGAGGGGCCGCTGCCCACCTGCACGTCCCCTCCCCAGCTCTTGCACGTGGCCGTCGTGTGTGCGGGACATAACTCCAGCCGAGACCTCGTCACCCTGGTGAAATCTGTGCTCTTCTACAGGTATAACCAGGTGTCAGGGCGAGGGCGGGGAGTCAGGAGTGGGGAAGGGAACAAAGCCTCGGGAACATATGGGAGCTCCAGTTACCCCATCTGCCCCACAGGGACAGTGTCCCTTCCTCCTTTGAAGGTCCCGGTACAGAAAAGCTCTTTGCCGAAGTTGGTGCTTCGACTTCTGAGTCCCTCCAGAGGGTCTTGTCCCCTGTTTCTCCTTCTTGGGCCTAGCGGCTTTCCTCACCTGTCCTTCCCAAAGGAAAAATCCACTGCACTTCCATCTGGTGACTGATGCCACGGCCAGGAACATTCTGGAGATGCTCTTCCACACGTGGATGGTGCCCGCAGTCCGGGTCAGCTTCTATGACGCGGAGGAGCTCAAGGCAGGAGCCCTGGCCCTTTTGCACCTCTTTCTGGCAGTGCCCAGCTCTTTCCTTCCTCGCAGGGCATGGGGGGGGGGCATGGCAGAGAGGCTAGAGCTGCCTGGGACCCCCAGTCTCATCACACCTACAGAAGCACCAATCCCTCAGCCTCCCTGGGCCTATGCCTTCTTCCCCGTGTCACCCTGAGCAGGTTCTGGCACTCATGGGCCCTTCTCTGCCAGGTTCATGCCCTGTCCTCCCCACCCTACAGCCCCAGATTTCCTGGATTCCCAACAAGCACTACTCTGGCCTGTACGGGCTAATGAAGCTAGTGCTGCCTGGTGTCCTGCCCCCTGACCTGGCCCGTGTCATTGTCCTGGACACCGACGTCACCTTCGCCTCTGATATTGCAGAGCTCTGGGCACTCTTTGCTCACTTTTCTGGTGAGAGACCTGGGACCCAGCCCCAGCCAGTCCCCCTCCCTGGCCCGCCCAGGCCCCGCTGTGGCCTATTGCTGAACCGAGGTCCAGTGGGGGCCTCAGGCAGCTCCCTCGTGCCCTCCCTCCCCAGACGAGCAGGTGATCGGTCTTGTGGAGAACCAGAGCGACTGGTACCTGGGCAACCTCTGGAGGAACCACAGGCCCTGGCCTGCCTTGGGCCGGGGATTTAACACAGGTGGGCCAGTGGTTGGGGGAGGCAGGAGGGGTGGCCACTGGTCCTCAGGACCCAGGGACTGGGCAGGGCACAGAATGCTAGGAGCCCCCCACCCCCGGAAGAATAGTGCTGTCAAAAGAACACCAGAAGAAGAGCCAGAAACAGTTCTAACCTTGGCTATTTGTGCTGAATGACTTTGGCCAAGCCACTTGGTCCCCCTGGGCTTCTGTTTTCTCATCCATTAAATGGGGATGACGTTGCCAGTCCCGGGGTCACTGAGTGTGAGAAGATGCCTGTGGAGGTGCTCTGTAAGCTATGCAGTGTCCTCCTTCACCCCCAAGAGGAGTGATCATTGGCCAAACTGGTCCACGCTCCTGTCTGAACAGTCAGAAAATGCCACTAAGTCAAAGAGTAAACATTCAAAAGACGGCTTCATGACCTCTGACCCCAGGAGCAGGGTTAGCCCAGGTGAGTATGATGCCCCTTCCCCTGGGCAGGTGTGATCCTCCTGTGGCTGGACCGGCTCCGGCAGGCTGGCTGGGAGCAGATGTGGAAGCTGACAGCCGGGCAGGAGCTCCTCACCCTGCCCTCCACCTCGCTGGCGGACCAGGTCAGGGGCAGCCTTTGCCCCGGGGTGGGGGGTGGTGGGCAGGGAGTAGGCTCTGGGCCGAGGCACGACAGCTGTCTCTGCCCAGGATATCTTCAATGCCGTTATCAAGGAGCACCCGGGGTTGGTGCAGCCCCTGCCCTGCGTCTGGAACGTTCAGCTGTCAGACCACACGCTGGCTGAGCGCTGCTACTCGGAGGCAGCTGATCTCAAGGTGAGTGGGGTGGGGGCTGCTGAGTGGGGGGCTCCTGTTCCCTGCTCCCATCCCCTGAACAACACCCTCCTGGGGCCCAGGTGATCCACTGGAACTCACCAAAGAAGCTGCGCGTGAAGAACAAGCACGTGGCCTACTTCCGCAACCTCTACCTGACTTTCCTGGAATATGATGGGAACCTGCTGCGGAGGGAGCTCTTCGGGTGCCCCAGCCCGCCGCTGTCTGGGGCCAAGCAGGTGGGAGGGAGCCGCCTACCCTTGGCTCCGGGGACGCTCCCCCCCCTGCTTTGGTGGGCCCGGGCCTTGTCTGGGGACTCATGTCCCTGGGACACCCCCCTCCCCCAGTTGCAGCAGGCCCTGGCACACCTGGACGAGGAAGATGCCTGCTTCGAGTTCCGGCAGCAGCAGCTCATGGTACACCGTGTGCACGTCACCTTCCTGCCCCACGTGCCGCCGCCCACCCGGCCTCACGACGTCACCCTGGTGGCCCAGCTCTCTATGGACCGGTGAGAGGGCCGAGGACGGCTGCAGGGAGCGAGGCAGGGGCTGGGACCGGGAATCCCCAAGAGTACGGTTTCAGTGGGCGGAAGGAAGAGCTCTTGCGGCCTGATGCTTGAGGACTTCCAGAATGTGGAGACACTGGCTGCTCTTAAGGGCTTGGGTTTGGGGAATCTCGCAGGTGCCTGGAACTGCCCATCCGTAGCCCTGGGACCACGGGCAAGTCTTGAGGTCTCTGGCCTTTGGTGTTCTTATTTGTTCCATGAGAAAGGGCCCACCCGGGGGGTACGTGGGAGGATTCAGTAAGACCCTATAAAGAGCCCGTGGCAGGTGCGCAGGAAGTCACCGGAAGGGTGTCTACGGCAGGACCCCGGGGAGGTATTCCAGCTGGCCTTGGGCTGACCACCCCCCTCGCCCCAGGCTGCAGATGCTAGAAGCCCTGTGCAGGCACTGGCCGGGCCCCATGAGCCTGGCCTTATACCTCACAGACGCAGAGGCCCAGCAGTTCCTGCGGTTCGTCGAGGCCTCGGCAGTGCTCTCTGCCCGGCAGGACGTGGCCTACCACGTGGTGTACCGTGAGGGCCCCCTCTACCCCGTCAACCAGCTGCGAAATGTGGCCTTGGCCCAGGCCCTCACGCCTTACGTCTTCCTCAGCGACATCGACTTCCTGCCTGCCTTCTCGCTCTACGACTACCTCAGGTGGGCCTGAGGAGGGCGGGGGAGGGACGGCCTCTGGGTGCCTGAGGCCGGGGGGTGGGCACCCGCAGGACCCTCGCAAGCGTGTGGCTGCGCCTTCCAGGGCCTCGGTTTCCTCTGTAAGATGGGTTTGTATTGGGGCGGGGGGCGCCCATGTCGGTTCTCTGGGCTCTCTGGGCTGCCGCAGGGAGGCAGCCCTGCTCCCCGTAGACGCCCCATTGTGTCTGTGAGGGCCAGCTGGCCTGGGGAGTCGACTCCCCTCTTCTCCCCTGTTGATGGGTGCTCCCCGCTCAGGGCCTCCATCGAGCAGCTGCAGCTGGGCAGCGAGCAGAAAGCGGCTCTGGTGGTGCCAGCGTTCGAGACCCTCCACTACCGCTTCAGCTTCCCCAGTTCCAAGGCCGAACTGCTGGCCCTGCTGGACTCTGGCGCTCTCTATACCTTCAGGTAGGGGAGGCCGCTGCTCCGCTCCCCACACGGGCCCCCGCCCGCTCACCGAGCTCCCCGCCTTAGCTGGGCACCCTGCCCCATCTTGTACCACAGGTTCCACGAGTGGCCCCGGGGTCACGCGGCCACAGACTATGTCCGCTGGCGGGAGGCTCGGACCCCATACCGTGTGCAGTGGGCAGCTGACTACGAGCCCTACGTGGTGGTGCCTCGTGATTGTCCCCGCTATGACCCCCGATTCGTGGGCTTCGGCTGGAACAAGGTGGCCCACATCGTGGAGCTGGATGCACAGGTGAGGACGTGCCTTGCTACCTCCAGTTTCCATTTGAATACCTCCAGGGCCAGAGAGCTCACTACACCTCAGCATGGCACACTGCACCGTTAGGCAGGACTGTTAGAAATTTCACCTCTGTGTAGAACTACAATCTGCCCTTGACCCTTACTTTGGCTATTAGGGGCTACCAAATAAACCTGCCCCCATCCCCCAGAGCTGCAATCCTCCCCCCAGCCCAGGCAATGAATGTCCCTCTGCCTCTACCCCTGCAGGAATACGAGCTCCTGGTGCTGCCAGACGCCTTCACCATCCACCTGCCACATGCCCCAAGCCTTGACATATCTCGCTTCCGCTCCAGCCCCACCTACCGTGACTGCCTCCAGGCCCTCAAGGATGAGTTCCACCAGGACTTGTCCCGTCGCTACGGGGCTGCTGCCCTCAAATACCTCACTGCCCTGCAGCAGCCCCGAGGCGCCTGAACTCCGGAGACTGGGCCTGTATGGCTCACCCCTACCCTCCACTTTGGCTCTCACACACTCCTGAGGACACTGAAGCAACCCTGCCACCCTAACCCCCCTCCCTACTATCTAAATTATTTAAGGTCTCAGTGGAAAGGGCTTCAGTTGGAGCACCTGTGTGGTGGGGCCTGGGGGCCTCCCCTTGCTGCTATCTATGGCTGGGGTCTAGGCTCCCTCTGCTATTGTTTTGGAGCTGGTTCCTCCCATCTTCCTCTGTACATCTCTTTTTCATAATCAAAGTTCTTCAAGCTCCTTTTCGTGTTCCGTCTGGTTTGGGGCATGAGGGTGTGGGTCAGCGGGGAAGGTGCTCAGTCTCCCAGGAGCTTCAGGAGGGCCCTGGACCCTCCCCTGGAGGCCCGAACCAGAGTGTATCTTGCCCACCCTCCCCTGCCCCAAACCCGACACCATGAGGCTGAGAGACTTTATTTGGCTTTATTTAGTAAAATGTTAAAATAAATAAATACAAATTGATCAGCTGCTCTGGATCCCCCCCACCCCCTCAAAACAAAAATGAAACAAACAAAAACAAAAACTTTGAAGCACAAAACTCCAAATACAAGTTCTATCAAGACTGAAATCACAGAGGGCGTGGACAAGAGACAGGATTGGGGGCTGGCTGGCTCTTTTCTGCTTGGAGCGTGCTGACTTCTGGCTGCCCATCCTGTCCTGCCTGACTGCGGCTCACCCTGGGCTGAGGACCCGACGACACAGAGGTGCAGAGGCCACAGGCCACTGTGGGGGACGGCGGAGTCCTCAGGGAGGAAGGGCCTTGTGGGAGGAGGGACAAAGTGGAAATGGGAGCCCTGCCCTTCCTCTCCCAGGGCCATTTTTCAAGAGTTCCACCCTGGCTCTCTCTCTGGAGGGGGCGACCCCCAGCTTCCTCCCCTTCACGATTGCCAGGGGCCAGGGGACTCTTCCCAAGGGCCGCCCCCTCCCTTAGAGAGGAGCAGACACTGAGGATGGCTGTAAGTCAGGGTGAGAGTGGATCTCCTGTTTCCTGTGGAGGGTGCCCAGCTGAGGGGTGGGGGTGAGGCCCACAGTCGTCTACACAGAGCAAAGTTGCCCCTATCCAGCAGAAGCCATGGAATCTGGAGAACCCAGGGCCTGGAGAATACCTGAGCCACCATCCATCCTACTACCCAGAGGAGCCTTTTACCTCTGGGGTAAAAGTCTCCTAAATTAAGCCCTTTGGATAAGAAAGACCACACCCTAAAAGGAAGTGAAGGGAGAAAACCGCTTAGAGCGCATGATGTGTGACTTGGGAGTGAGAGCCCAGAGAGACTCTGCTGGCCCCAAGAGGAAGTATCAGAGATGGCTGGAGGGGCAACTGTACATGCAGACTTCATGAGCTGGAAACAGTCCCCCTCACTCATGTGGAGAGACGTGAGGGCAGCACTTGTGCCCGTTCGCACTACCTGTTGAGCCTGAGCCAGGAAGAAGGGACGGGCAGGCCCCGCAGGGAACCCGGGCACTCACATGATGCCAGCAGTGCAGCCCCACGCAGGAAAGGCCCCACCAGAGGCTGGCCAGAGCCGGGTTGCCCCAAGGGCCTGATAAGGAAGGGAGGAAGCAGAACTCTGGATGAGCTCAGCAGAAGGGAGACAAGACCCAGCAGGCTCCAGGGAAGAAAAAGGACCTGCAGGCGGCACTGGCAAGAACGTGAGGCGGGAAGATGACAGCAACGTGACCTCACCGGCTTCAGGGTGCAGTGCCTGCGCGGCTGGCCTCCTGTTCAAGGGCCCACTGGCAGCCACTCCCTGGCCTCTGAAGTGACTGCAAAGCCAGCTGGTCTGAGATGTGTCTGTGAGCAGCTAGGCCTGAGCATGGCGAAAGAGTAGCAGCGGGGGGAGGAGGAAGAGGTGAAGATGGCCCAGGTGAAGCAGTCACAGAAGTGTGTCTCAGGGGGTGACAAGCACCCACAGGTCTAGGGCACAGAGAGAGGGTCTTTTCTTGGCAGTAAGTAGTTTTGGAATTTGAATCCAGAATGTGGGTTTGGGCCAGAGTTACATTTTGTACCCCACACCAGCTGACTCACGAAATAGTCCGTATCTGCACTTTAGGAAGATCATACCCCAACCCCAGGCAAGGCCAGAGCGGGGTACTCACAGCAGCAGGCAAAATACTGGTGGATTCCTAGCTCTACCCGCCCCCCAAGCTTCCCCAGACACCCCGGGAATTCTCAGGCAGCTTTCTGAGCCTCTAGTGATGATTGTTTCCCTAACTTCTTTCAAGAAAAGATTTGTACTATGTGGCAACTTGCGGCCTCTGGGCCCAGACAAGTCAAATGGAAGAGCTCAAGACCAGGCATACAGCCTGATGCTGGGCTCTGAACCTTTGCCAACTATTCCTCCAACTAGTCTAGGCATCTCCACAGCTCCCTGACTAGACGTAGCACCTTGGTTTCTGCAGGAGAAAAAGGAGCTCCTCTGTCCCCCTGCCAGGCAACCTCACACCGCCAGGGCCTGACTCTGAGGCCTGTTTAGCCACTCTTAATCCCCTAACATTCCTGGGAAGATGAAATGGCCAGTAGAGATGAAGCATATCTTACCTAAGAAGTTTTCCTTTCTCTTGCATTTGCTCTCAGGGTTTAATTGGGCAAGCGGGGAAACTAACGGGACCTTTTCTGCCACTCCTAGACTCTGGCCATTAGAGAGTATGGGGTGGGCTTGGGAGAGATGTCCCAGGAGTGCTGGGGCCCCCAGGGCCTGCCTCCCTTCTGGGGGCCAGGCACGCAATGGGCCATGGTCTCCAATGGGAGAACATGCCTGACAAAATTGACCTCCCACGAGGCAAGATGATAAAAATGGTCCGAGTCTTTCAGAACCCTGGTTTTCTCATGAAGGAGACAGGCCAGGCCAAGGCAAGCACAGCGATTCTAGCCAAAGGTCACCCAGGAAGCCTGAGGATGGGCAAAGGGCAATAGACAGCCACATCTGGTACCTGGAGCCAGCAGGCAGAAAAAGCAGCTGGAGAGTCAGACCTCTTCAAAGGCAAGACAGACACAAAGGCCACCCTGGGGCTCTTTGTCTCAGAGACACCATGTACCCTCAAGACATCTCACTCCTGCATTCTTTCTCAGTGCCAAGGGCTGATGCAGCCAGCCTGCCCCCTGCACCCCGCCCCCCCCCCCAAGGCTAGGGTGCATGGGCACCAATGAGTGTCACAGGCCATGTCCTTCAGAGTTGTCCCGCAGGCACTCACAATGCTGGTGGCTGAAAGACGGAGAGCAGCACCAAAGTAAGGGATCTTATTTAGGCACCAGCCTTTTGCTCTAGCAAAATCCGAGGAAACAATGGGTAGGGTAGGGTCCTGATACCATCCACACGCCACTCAGGCTTCAAGAACAGAAGCCCAGATCCCTGCACCAAGAAGAGAGGACAGTCCTTTCCGAGGAGGGGAGAGTGGTGGGAGGGCTTGGCTGCTGCCCGTCAGGGCTGCAGTTGTCCAGAGGACAGAAATCATGGAGACTAGCCCACCAGTCTTGAGACACAAACACAGCAAAATGTCATCATGATCAGCAGGTTCTGTGCTAAAAAATTATAACTACACAGCATTTTCTCCAGTTCTGACACCTTTTTAATAGAAATCACTGTTTTTAGGAAACAAATAGCACTTTTGTAATTTTTTTTACAATGTTTCTTACCTTGATCTTAATTTAAGTAACACTAGGAAGACCTCAATATCTTTTATTTTCCTTTTTAATTTAAAAAAAAGTTGTTGTTGTTGTTTTCCCCAGATACAAAGATTTTTGCCCTTGCATAAAAAACAGTGCCCCAAACGATGACACAAGGACTCACACAGACTCACTGGACCTCACTGACACTATGATTCCTAGTCTACCATGCACGGCCTCGACTACCCTTAATTGACTGTCAGCCTGAAAAACAGCTTTTCTATTCCTTATTTTAGTTTTTGTTACCAAAAAAGTAAAAGAAACAAAATAAAACTTCTTAAAGAAAAAAAACAAAACAAAACAACAAAAATTTAAAAAAAAAGAGAGAAAAGAAACATCTCCATTCAATTCACACACACCTGGGTCGCGTGCTGCTTCGCTCAGAATCTTCTCTTCTTATAAATATAGAAAAGGGATGGAGCTTGTTTTCAAGTAAAAATCACTGATCCACCTTTTTTTCCTTCCTGGACACACACACACCCTTCTTCCCTGCTCTGGCAATGGCCAGCAGGGGTGGCCTCTGCCTGTTGCCTGAGAGGGAAGGTAACCGGATCATCCGCGGGGATGCGCGCCAATTTGCCAAAGCAGGGAAGGAACTCGGGGGAGTGGTGGGGGCGCCCGCGGCGGGAAGTGGAATGCACAGAAGGACCTCGGGGCTGTCCTCCTCCGTGCACTGTGCCCCACCCCAGACAATAGGAAATACTGCTTATTTGATAGACTTTTCCCACCCGGCTCCCTCCCCTTCCCTCCCATCCCTCCTCTGGGCACTGGGGTTGGTTAAATCTTGATTTCCTTTTTTTTTTGGTTTTATAGTAGTGAAAGTTTAGAAACAGGAAAGCCCACACACTCTTTGGACTTGTCTTCTCTACCTAAACAAACGGCTCGGCAAATAAGGATCTGAAACCTGCTCTCCTCCCTCCGCCCGTCCCTGCTCCCCACCCAACAAAACAAAAACAAACCCATGGTGGCTGTGGAGGCTGCTGCAGGCACACACTGGTGTATAATAGAGAGAGTAAATATATTATTTCACTTGGCATGGTGCTGGCAAAGAACCTCCAGCTGGCACTATTTCATGTAACATGGTCCAATCTTTGCATGTACACACAGAATAAGAAGGATCAATTGGCAAACTCTGGTGCCACCTGGCACAAGCATCTTCTCTCTCTCTGGAACCAAAGAACCAAAAGAATTCTGTACTTTCCAGAAGAAATCCGGCTTTGCTTTTCTAGAGTCTTCAGTGTTTTTGCTCTCCTTGCCGCCGGGATCCCGTGGCTTCTCCTCTCGGGGCTCTGTTATTTAGTCTCGTCCCCCTGGGTACAGTTCGCTGTGCAGCTCTGGGAGGAGGGGGAGTGGGCCGGCGTAGAGGTGGCGGCGTTGGCAGGGGGGGTACAGTCCGGGCCGTTGGAGATGGCCCCCACAGTGGCCTCAGAGTCTACAGGTTTGGAGAGGTCGATGCCGTGGATGAGGCGGATCAGCTGTTTTACCTTCTCCAGGGAGCTGTGCATCTCCTTCTGTCGGGCCAAGATGGTATTCTTCATTTCCATGCATTTCTGCAGCAAATGAGAAGGGCAGTGGCACTGAGCCTCCGTGGCTTTTCTGACAGGCCTGGCAGCTCTCTCCAGGTAAAAGAACCCTGTTGGCTGGTGTGTGCCCCTAAACTTTGTTCAGCTCTGCACTGGAGGTGGCACCACCGCCCAACAGGCAGGAGGGAGAGTGCAAGTGAGTGGTTTAAATGCCAACCCTGCTGGATACCAGGATTTAAAACCAAATGTGAATTACCATTCTAATGCTGCAAAATAAAGGTATCTTAAAAACATTCCCAGAGCAGCGCTGAAGCTGGTTTGGGCAGGTTTTGGCATGCTTCTGCCTTGCAAATGGGTGCTAATGTGCTCAGGACCGGACTGAGCTTTCGAGGGCAGAAAAGGAGCCAGTGGTATCTGGATCCAATTTGAGGGCTACCGAGGATCAGTTGGTCGGCAAGAATTTAGAGGCAGGCTGGGGGTAGCAGCACTGTGATATGTGGGAGAATCAAACACTGCAGTTGACAGAAACCCTTCTGCTCGGTCATGCACTTGTCTTTTGCCCTTTTGCCCAAGGTCTCCCACAGCTGCTGACTTCTGGTCTAAGCAAAAAGAATGTGAAACCTGCATGCCATGGGTACTACGGTGATGAGGAGAAAGGAGCCGAGAGGGACAGCTCAACTGCCACCAAGTCCAGGGTACTGCCCGCTGCCCATGAGAGCTGAGGCCACCTGGCTCCAAAAAGGGGAGGGGTGCCTACCCAGTGAGAAATAAAATTTGCTCTGGCAGGGCCTCAGAATCTCTGCTGCAAATACAACCCTGGACAGGCCAGGCTGTTGGATTGTATACAACACCTGGACAGGCCAGGCTGGGCAGTATTTACTTCCAATACTTGTCTCCAGAAACCTCTCTTCCTTAAGCTGGTCAGGAAAACCTGGAGATGCAATCAGCAGGGTGTGGAAGAAAGGACGGGAGCAAAGCGCTGTGCAGACAGATCACTAACTGGGATGACTAGAAAGGCTTCTATACAGGACCTGATCTGTGTCTACCAGGCATCGGGAGAGGCTCCAGTCTCCTCCTACACCCACTCAGGCACACACAGAGGTGGTGGCCATACTGCTGCAGCTGCTACTTCATCTCTTCAGCCTGGACACTGAAAATCCTCTCTCAGATGAAAGCCAACAGGAGGTTCCAGAGCTTGGAGAAGGTACCACATACCAACTGGCCGCCTGTCCTGAGGGCCGAACTGTAACTTGGAGGCACACTGCGTCCACCCAAATTAACTGTTAATAAGCTGAAGGACTGGCATGGGCCCTTGGGAGCCACATGTACTATTCTACATGTGAGAGTCCCTATCCATATCTATCACCGAAGGCATAGGATTTACTTACACTTATAGAATTGCTGAGCTGTTTCACCTTCTGCTCTAGTTGTTCTCGTTCTTGTTTTAAATCTGAACTCCATTTAAGTAATTTCTGTTTCTCTTCTTCTTTTGCTGGGGGGAAAAAAAGGAACTGTTTTTAACAATGAATTATTTGAAAACGCAACTGTGTTCAGAATGCTGGCCAAAGAAGATATTTTGCCCAAAGTTCCTCTGAGCTCCAGTGTGGGTAGAGAATGTGTCCACCCAGACCTTCCCTTATTACATGTATAGACACCTATGCTAAGAAAGCTGTCAGTGGTGTGGGCCTGACTCTAAGATACCACTTCTCATTTTTCCTCTCCAAGAAAATTCTACACAAACTTTTCATCTTGTTCAATAAAAGCTTTTCATTTTTAACTTTAAATTTCCTTTTGAAAACAAAACAAGTGCTGCCATATAGCACTTTTCTTTTTAAGCAAGGGTAGGGTCACACAAAAGGGGGTGTGGATGATTATTTACCTGCTTTGTAGGCGATATAGGAATGAACAATTGCTAAAGTTCCAGGCCATGGAATTGCTTCTTCCTTTTTCAGCATCTGAAACGAGGTTTAGAAGTTTTACCTTGGTATAAACACACCTCCCTGTGTAGTGACAAGCAACGTGTCTATAGCTATTGGCAGAAAAAATCCAGGAAGATTTAAACCCTGGTCTACACTTTTCTAGACTATGAAGTTCCAGAAACTCTTAACAGAATGAAGTTCGGTGACAAGGAAAGTCAAGCCACTCAAGCCCCAGCTTAGAAAGAGGCTAGGACTTGCCGGGGCATTCCTGGCTTCTCATACATGCCACATATGATGCCCAACTACTCTGACAGCCAGACCCACTGGCATACAAGCTACATGCCTGCACGATGGCAGCAGCTGCTGGCAGTTTCATCCCTGACCTGCCTATCTCAATTTTAGTTTTTTACATCCCTCAAAGATAGCCTAACCAAAGAAATTAAGTATCAGTTCCAAATATCAAAGTATAATTTAGACTTTGTGTAGAAAATTACCAGAGTTACAGAGCAGCATCAGGAGAGAACACAGAGAGAATGGTCTCCACTACTTTACAAAGATAGTAGGATAAAAACCAGGATTAGATTTTGGGGAAAACCAGAATTTTCTCAAACAGGATTCCAAAGAACTGAGCAGCATCCCAAAGCTTGCTGAGCTATTGGGCCTATTATTTATACTTTGCCTACTTCCAAAAAAGACTGAAACAGCTTATCATGAAAACATAAAGGTACATAAATAGTTGAGAAAAAGAGACCAGAAACTGCACAAGAAGAAGGGAAAAGAGGCTACGACAGTTAATGTTTGCCTTTCAAGTCCATGAAATAGTAAGACAGCTACTTTACAGTTAGTTCTCTGATCCCAGTGACAACACAGGTTAAAGGTGATACTGTTGTTATTTGAATTAAACAATCAATTGCACACTTTCCTTTAAGAGTTTTATTTCTAAAAGAAGAGTCTCAAAACCACATACTGGGTTTGGACCATTCTTAGAGAAAGAGGCAGAAAGTCTTATGGCTTTGAAAGGGCAAGGTCATGAGAAGATAAGTCATTTTAAATAAAGGGAAGCAGTTAGAGCCTTCCCACCTACACAGACTCCCCATCTCAGTAAAAGGACAGAGAAGCTCGAGAGGATGGACGCTATGTGGGTGAGTGCAGTGCCATGAACAGATAGGAGAGGGAAGAGACTCCACCATTCCCCCAAGTCTAAGGGGAAAGGAGGTCCTCCTGACCACACTTTCTCCTCCTCAGCCCATCACTGTCTGACCCGCTCCTTAGTACCTGGTCCTGACATCTGGGACAGATCCACATGCCCTTGGGAATCGTTTTCAGAGGAGGGTCTAAGCAGTCCAGATGATACACACGGGAACATGTGTCACACATAAGCAACTGGCCACTTTTCCTGCAAACGCTGCAAAAATCCTCATGGATATCACCCTAGGAAATTGAGAGGAAAGGTAAGAGAAAGGACAAAAAAGGTAAAATGTGAATGTTAACATGCACATTCTGGATATGTATGTTTCAGGACAATTAGTTGTGCCCCCTCCAACATGTTACAGAAGTATTCAAGGAAAGTAGGAATTGCCAATGGCACAGGCCCCACTTGCTCCATACAGCTGAGGTTCCCTGGGCAGGGACAGTATCCTTAGAGTTTACAGAAAAGCCATGTAATCACCTAGGCCCAAATTAACTTTACAGGTGATAGCTCAGCACTTATGTTTTGGTAGAGCCCAACCCACAAATCATAAAGTTTGAAGATACTGAATTCCATTCATCAAAGTGTTCCACAATATGATACAAACAATTCTCATTACCCATTTTTTAGCAGAGTTTAGGATTGGGAAAAGAAGACAGATAAAAATATGGAATTTTACTAAATTTTTTCTCAGGGAGAAAAAAATAGAGTGCACATTCAATTGGGAAAAAGATTAAGTCAGGAACAAATGAAACTCCCATCAGCTTTCTAACATGAAGAATTTAAAAAGCCAAAGCAACAGTTGACAAGGTTCTCTTAAAACCACTATTTGGCATTTGCTGTTCAATGGACCATTCTATGCTGGGAGGCTTTATTCCTCCCCATAAAATATATCACCAGATGGAAAGAGATGAGCAACCCAGTGTACTCTGTCCCCGCCCCCATCACTGAAAGTTCTGGTACTCAGGTAAGTCTGCGGGAACCCTATGAACAGAAGGCAACAGCAGGAAAAAAAAAAATAAGCAAATCTACTTAATATGGAGAGGAGAATACTGAAGAGAGATAAAAAAAAAAAAGGTATTTTTCAGCAGGTCAATCCCTGGCCTGTTCCAGAAATAGGATTGATAAAGACACATGGGAAAGAAGACCGAAGACACACCAGAGGTTAGCCAGCAAGGCAGCACTGCCACTTAGGCCCCCTCTTCACTTCCAGTGTGTTGTTTTAGATTTCCAGGCTATTTTGCCAGAAGGCCTAATACAGAAACTCTGCACAGGAAGCAATGACATAGACAGCAATGTTCAATTCTTTTCAGCCGCCACTGTGGAAGGAATGTATCTTCCCAGACCTGTAATTTCTCTCTAAAGAAAAGGAAAGTCTATAATTCACTAGGGTATCTAGAACCTAGAAAACTGCTGCAAAAGGTTGTTAAGATAATCAGATAATTTCTTACATTTAGTAAGAAAATGTTATCTCTGGACAATAAAGAAGATACTCAGTATACGAGCAAAAATACTGCATAAGTGTGCCACCTCAAAGTTCAGCTTCGAGGCACCTAAAGAGGTTAAGGTTTCATCCCTTGATTTTTTTTCAATTTTTTTTTTTTTTATTTATGATAGTCACACACAGAGAGAGAGGCAGAGACATAGGCAGAGGGAGAAGCAGGCTCCATGCACTGGGAGCCTGACGTGGGATTCGATCCCGGGTCTCCAGGATCGTGCCCTGGGCCAAAGGCAGGCGCTAAACCGCTGCGCCACCCAGGGATCCCTCATCCCTTGATTAACTATAACTTTCCCTTTCATTCTTAAAATCAGGCTGAAGGGCACTCTTCTCTAGAGAAACAATCTTTCTTAAACCTGAGTCCTGTGTGAGTCTGCATCTTTAATAAGTTTATAAAAATTTAAAGGTTTCAGAGACTGGTTCACATGAATCCTAGATAAATTACTGGTGATGAAGTAAAAACAAAAAAAACTGGACATCTTATTCTGTTGGGTAAAGAGTTCTGCTCACTTTCCTTTGCTCCTGAGTAGGAGCACATCAAGAAGTGGGGGGCGGACAGTTCTTTCAAGTTTCTAAAGGAAAGATGACTTCCTATCCTATTTCCACGTTCGAGAGCAACAGTTCCCAGTCTGCTCGGTGTCAGGACCCCATATTACCAAGGACCTCAAAGAGTTTTCGTTTATGTAAATTACATTTATTGATATTTACTATATTAGAAATTTTAGAAGTTTTCAATTTTGAAATAATTACAGAATCATAGGAAGTTACGAAAACAGTGTACTGAAAACCTGTAAAATCCCAGCACACGTGCATATTCCATGTGTCATCAGAGTTATGACATCATTTTATGTCATGTAATATCTGGAAAACTCCACTGGTTACTCTTCAGAAAAAGAGAATGAAAATGGTAAAGAAGGGGATGCCTGGGTGGCTCAGCAGTTGAGTGTTTGCCTTCGGCTCAGGGCATGATCCTGGAGTCCTGGGATTGAGTCTCACATCGGGTTCCCTGCATGGAGCCTGCTTCTCCCCCTGCCTGTCTCTGCCTGTCTCTCTCTCTCATGAATGAATAAATATCTTTTTAAAAAATGGCAAATAATATTCTAGTATTATCATGAAGATAGTTTTGATTTTATAGACCCCCAAAAAGAGTCTGAAGGACCAAATTTGGAGAACAACTGCCCATAGAAATGAATAATAAAATGCCAAGGTATAGATTTTATCTACCCAGAATGGATTCTCTGATTAGCTTAAAGAGAGCAGAGAAAATCCCTTGGAGGTGCCTCTCCAGGTCAAAAGGCTCAGGCTTTGGTGACTGAATTGCTACCATAGGCCAAATGTTAAATTGAAAGATGGTGACCCATGATTCTTCGCTAGGAGCTGACTACGTGTTTTTTGCAAACATCCTGGCTATATCAACTGCAACTTCATCATTTGCTAAAAGAATTTTAGAAGTATGTCAACATATCTTCCCTTCTCATAACATGATAGTGGCAACAAGGTATATCCTGAGGATTAGTGTCTGGCTGGGTTTTGTATTACCAAGTCCTTCTAGACGGTTACTGATCCCCAGGAAATGCTTGCCTTTCAGCTGTGATTGTTTAATTAATGTTGTTGGGGCTTGTCCTACCCAGCAGCAAACACAGAGAGTCCTGTGTGCTGATTTTAATCACTGCCACTGTTAGAATACTGTAAAAGTAGAAGTCAATTATCTTAAAAAAAAAATCTATTCCACTAGGTTTAAAACTTACGAAGTTCTAACATATTTAGTGGTTTTAGAAGAGCCTTCTTTTACCTTTGGATTTCTGAGAAGAGCAGTGTTTACATTTTAAGATGAAACCTGGCAGGAGTTTTTACTTTGAGTAGATCCTTTGGGTTCAGTCTCTCAAAGAAACCCACAGATCCCTATCAGCCCAAAAGCACAAAAACCAAAAACAACCTTTAGGAGAAAGAGACTCACACGCAGAAAAGTTGGGACCATCTCTGGTACCAGCAAACAAGGTTTCTGACAAGGGCTCCTGGTACTCATTACTCAGAACAGGTTGAAAACCTTTATCAATTACTAATGCTGGAAGTCAGAAAGGCTGGATGAAATGCTGAATTCCAAGAGCAAGTCTGAGTCTTGCTATAGTCACCAGTTATGTCCATGGAAGGAAAGGCTGCCAGAGAACAGAACTTCACTGTGACCTGTCCTCCAAAGAGAACACTTCCTTTGCTACTTCTAGAATTTTAACTTAGTGTGTGCATATGGTATTCTTTTGTTCTTTGGAAAAGGGTAGACTATTAGTAAGCACTAAGAACCTTCCAGTTCAAGAGATATTTTACCTAAAGATGATCCTAAAGACAAGCTCTGTAATTGACACAAAAAAAGGGACATGTACAAAATCAAACTCTTGGTTTCCCTCCTCAAACCTGTCCTTCTTGCCATCTTGAGTAAATGAATTTTATCCTGGTAACTGCTTAGGCTGAAAACTCTGGATTCATCCTTGACTATTATCTCTTTTTCTCATACTCCATATCTAATCCTGTTGGCTCTTAAAAATATATGCAGACTCGGTCACTTTCCTCCATCTCTATGTCTACCACCCTATCAGGCCAAGCTGACCTCAGCTCTTGCCTCCTAACTGGTCTTCCTGTTCCCATCCTATCCTCTCCACAGTCTCTTATCCAGGTTTCCGATACAGTGATCCTTTTAAAATCCAAGTTGATTTTGGAAACACCTTAAAAATAGTAAACACAGGGAAGAACCATCAAAGGATGCTAAAACCACTGGGTAACATTTTGTGGGGGAACTGGATATTTATACAGACTCAAAGCTCTCTGCTTTGAGGCACCTTTACAAGTGGAGAGATTTGATGTGCTCTCTTAAGAGATGAAAGCTAACATCACCAACAACAGGACAGACCAGCGGACGACATGTGATGCACAGAAAAGGACTCGCCATCACGTATTTAGTGTTCCTACAAAAATGCATACCCTGAATCTCCTCCTGAGGAAACAATCAGATTATCCAAATGGAGGGGCACTCTACGCAGCAACTGGCTTATGTTTTAAGAAATGTCCATGCCATGAAAGACAAAGAAAGGCTGAGAAACTGTTTCAGAGTAAGAAGGCAAAAGAGATAGTACCATGACAACGAATATCAAGAGTGATCTTTTTTTTTTTTTTTTTTTTTTTAAGAGTGATCTTAATCTGGATTCTGGAGCAGAAAAAACAGAGTGCTACTAAGGCAATTATTGAGACAACTGGAGAAACCTGAATATGGACTATATGCTATATAATAATATTTACTCAATATTACATGTCCTCAATTTGATAACTACATTGTGTCTATATCAGAGTATCTGTTCTTAGAAAATATATACTGAAAGGTTTTGGGTGAAGATTAATGATGTCTGCAACTTTTTAACTAGTTCAGCAAAATATGTTTATGTGTATGTGTGCGTGTGTGCATGCATGTGTGTAGGGGGAGCACATGTGGCAAAATGGTAACAATCAGTGAATCTAGGTGAAAGGTACATATTTGTTCTTTGTATTTTCTTGCAACTTCTCTGTTTGAAAATTATCTAAATAAAAAGTTGAAAAATTATGTCACTCCTCTCCTCAGAGCCCTCCAGTGGTCCCCTATCTCCTTCCAAGTAAAAGCCCCAAGGCCCTGCACCTTGGGCCCCGCTCTGGGGTGTCTTTTCCCACCATCTCACTACTCCCTATGCCCCCACTGTCCTGGCCTTCTTGCTTTTCCTCCACACCATGTATATGCCCATCTCAGGGCTTCTGCACTGCTCTGCCCTCTGCATGGAATGCTCTCCCCTGACACATACTTACACATTCCACTTTCTACCACAGATGCTCTCTCTTCCCTCTCTTCACAAAATAAAAGGCTTCTTATCCCCCTTATTCTGTCCCAATTTTCTTTACAGAACTTATTACTACCTTTTATATGTTCATTTGCTTATCACCTGCCTCTGGCCATGTAATAGGAGCTCCTTGAGGGCAAGGAGTTGCTTTTGTTCCCTGTTCTATCCCCAGCCTTAAGAATAGCACTTGTTTAGCAGAGTAGTGCTCAGTAAGTGTTTGCTCATTTAAAAATCTTAGGGCACTAAAGAGAACACACTGATTGTGACCAGAGGGGAGGTGGGCTGGGAGAAACAGGTGACAAGCACGGAGTCACATATACGACTGCTGCATTACTGTAGTGTACACCTGAAACTCACATAGCACTGCATCCTAACTCTACTAGAATTAAAATGAAAAATGTAAAAATAAGTAAAGTAAAAACAAAAAATAAAAACCCATAATCTCAGGGTACTAGTTTATAATCCTGCAGTTTCTACATGCAGGGTTACTAAATATATGACACTTTTTTAGGAACCTGTTTAATCAATTCTGCTAAATAAAGTTGCTTGAAAGAAACGTTTTCCACTTCCTGAATTCTACCTGAAGCAGGAAACAAGGACTGCCAGGGGAATATGTGCCTTCTTCCTTTTTCCTAACCCCAAAACAAGGACAGAAACCTGAGCACCTTTCAATTACAGGAGCTGACTTCCTGTCCCTCCCTGTTCCTGAGAATGAACTCATTCACAGCAGATCAAATCCAGATTTTAAACACTCTGACTGAGCCTCCCGATGTGGTACATGATTCTCAAGGACATGGCAGGACCTGGGGCCCCGGCAGAAAACTGCCTTACATGGTATACTGTGTCTTGTAGGGATTACTGCTGTTCCAGGGTGAGTCAAGGAGATGCAGCTGGCAAGGAGACAACACATGATAACGGTTTCCCCAATGTAAGCTCTCAGAAAGAGAGTGCGCTTTTCCCAAGTTACTTACGTCTGTGGAGGTGGGGCTGGGCAGGGACACAGGCTGAACAGGTGCAGGGAAAGTGAATGTGGTCTCTGTCTTTTCATTTTCGGGGGAGTCAGGATGACTGGATGGGGGGGATGTTGGGGTAAGGGCTCCAAACCCCAGCACTGCATTGTATTTTGGAGGACGACCTATATACCAAGAGAAGGGAACAAAAAGGAAAAAAGGGGGAGGGAAAGAAAGGGGGAAAAATGATCTTACATACCTTTGGCCAGTGTTCCTCATTGGCTAGCATGGAAAAGGAAGTGAGGTAGCAGACAGAAGGTTAATACAACAGTCCCAAAGAGAGGAAGAAAAGCAAAGATTTAAATGTCATTAGAAACAACTACACGAGTCTCAAAAGAAAGGAGGATAAGACAGCCTTGGAGAATGACAGGAGGGCTACGTCATGTTGTTAAAGGGCCTTGCCTTGGGTGGATTCTGGTGATGCTCCTGGACTATTACAATTTGAGACTTCTAGTATGAAATCAAGATGTCAAAGCTCAAGAGGGGGCCACAGCTAGGAATAAGAGTTTATTTTTCCACTTCTACATGTTGTTCTCTAAGGTTTCTCTGTAACCATCACCCTTACAATCAATAATTCCCAGTTCCCAAAAATGGATTTATTTAGGATTTCTGTTTTTCCTTTTCTCTATCTATATATTGGTCATTTCACTGCTTGTGAGCATGGAGAAAGGCAAACCGAGGAGGCAAAATTCAAGTTAACTATTCTTATCCCTTGCCGATAGAGCTGGTGAGAAATATGTTCTGGGACTAGCTGGGACCTAAGAGCTAAAAAGATGTTCTGAGCTTAACAATGATTTTCAGTATGTCTAGAGTCAGAGACCCTCCCCGCTGATCAAGAACTGTCTCCCCAGGATATCTGGGTGACTCAGGGGTTGAGTGTCTGCCTTCGGCCCAGGGCGTGATCCCAGAGTCCCGGGATCAAGTCCCGCAACGGGCTCCCTGCATGGAGCCTGCTTCTCCCTCTGTGTCTCTGCCTTTCTCTCCGTGTCTCTCATGAATAAATAAAATCTTAAAAAAAAAAAAAAAAGAAGAACTGTCTCCCCACTTCTGTCACACTCTGGTGAACTACATGTCTAAGGACTAGGGTCTGCTACAAAATCTCCAAAAAGGCCCTGCCATCAGCAACACTGCTGAAGGGCTGATTGGAGCAAAAGCCCTGGGAATCAAGCCTCATGGTACAGAGAATCTATAAATGGACCCTGATGGGCGTGGCAAGATTGGTCAACCACTCCTGCCTTATGATACATCCAAGCCAGGGTCCTTGTTAGAAGAGCCAGGATTAAAGCTTCTAAGCTTTGAGTGATCAAAAGTATATATCCAGCACACCAAAGGGAAAAAAAAAAAGCCAGAGAGGCACACAACTGTCTACAAGCACTGGTAAATGGTACAGAGATCACAACTTTGCCAACAGTTATAATTTACATCAGGATTATGCACAGAGTCATGATTCTGTCAGACATTACACAAATATTACCTGTGTTAAACTGGCAATGTCTGCGGTACAAAGACAGATCATACAGGTTTGTCTTTTCTGGGGAATTTACTGCTGCCCAAAGGGGATGTGAAAGATGAATGCTCTTTGTTTACCTGCAGAAGGTACATCCTAGGCATTGTAGATACAGGCTTTCATCCTCTGACCTTGGCACTGATGCCAAGGTCTTTCTGGCTCATTCAACCCCTGTCCTCTTAGCAAATACTCCCCACCAGCAGACAAATTAACTGTGGCTTATGACTGGGGGCTCCTTTCTGAGAACTGGGTCAAAGGTTACTAAAAATTGCCAAAAATAAAACAAAAAATAACCCATGACACTGGTTACTGTGGCCCAGGAATCAATAGGAAGCAATGACTCAGGGTTTCCCAAGGAAATATTTTTGACTACTTAAAGGACAGGGCTAATGAAACATTAGATGGATCACTGAGGGTGGGTATGCTATCTCTTTCAGGTGAGGAGGTAGTAATGGTACAGGTGCAGCCCTGCCTAAAGTAGACAAAAGAAAAGGGTCAGGATGACCTCCTAGGCTTCCAATAGCTCTGAGACAGTGTGTGCTTATGCAAAAATTATTATGCTACTCCACTCACTCTGCAACCTTTCTAGCCTGGAACTATAATTCAGGGACACATTATCATGTGGAGAAAGGGACCCTGGGATGTATCACTGACATCAAAGAACAATTTCAGAACCTTGTTCATGAGCTCAAATTCAGAGCTATTAAGACCTACTCAGTCCTGCATGGAGGGCTGCTGCCTCTGCCCCGCAAGTAAGGTGCACCACCCACCTGGGGAGGCCCAAAATATGGTGATGGTGCTCTTCAGAACTTCTATTTCAGGGAGCCTGTTTTGACAATGACCTTCTTCTCTTCCCTAGCTGGAGATACCTTCAACTCCATAGATTCTAAGTTCTCAGTGTGTCTACCTCTCTCATTCCTGGAAAGTCTGCAGCTCACAGAAACTCGAGTCACGCTCTGGTTTCTCTGGCAGCAGGACGACTCAGACACTACTTAAGAACACCTTGGCAACAGCAGTGCTCTGTTCTGCTCAATGATGCTAAAATGCTTCCTTTCACACAATGTTCTGTTCACTGTGCTATTCATGGACAGCCTGGTGGGCCTGGGGCAGAACTGCTGTAGTAAGCCATTTTCTTGAGTCAGCTTTGCCAGAATCTGAGGCAAAGCAGCTTGTGATTCAGTATACAGGACTCTAATAAGAAATCTCACTCTCTTCTCCCTCTATTTTCACAAAACAGCAACAACAAAACTATTTTCAAGGGATTTAGGAGTTAGGCTCTAGGACAATGGGAGAAAGGAGGGGGGAGAAACACGACATAGAAAGCAGAAGCAACAGCAAGGGAGAGCTACAAAAAAGTACTCACCTCTCTTCCGGGTCCCAGGATGCATGGTACTGTTCAGGTATGTGACTGCACTCTTCTTGCGCTTTAAGGATTGAAGAAGGAAAGGTAACTAGTTGAATAGCACGGTTACTACGAATATTGGCACAAGCTATAGACCAAGCACAGCATGCCTGTCAACATGCCAACGAGTGAGTGCCAGTCACCTCAAGGTCTCTGCTAATGGAATTTATTATATATACTTGGCTCTGAGGGAATATGATATTCCAGAGAGGTCTGCCTCTGCTTCAGATGACAGCTCTGTTGAAGCCAAGAGGACTTAAATTTTTAAGGTAGGTTTGTATTTGCTCAAACTTAGGGAAAAACTAAGGGGAAAGCAATGAATAATAAAAATGAAACAGTATGATTAGCCAGACCAAAAAAAAAACCATCATTTCGCAAAGCTGGCCAAATATAATTAAGGTACTGTTCTTCCATAGGTTTTCAAATGGAAAGAGATGAAAATCATAAATAAACCTAGAATAGTGAGGGAAGGGCCAAGTTCTGACCAGGAATACCTCTGGCTCGAAGACTGCTCCACTGTATACTGGATTTGCTGTTGTTCTTCTTTTGCGCTCTTGCCTCTTGCTTTGGATTTCTTGGGAAAGTAAAAGGTTTGAATTAGAAGGAAGGAACAGAGAACCACAAAAATGGAACTTCATTGTTTATCTTTTGCTTTTCCCATGACAAGGTGGAAATGGGGGCACATCTCTTTTTTCCCTTGCAGCCTCAGCAGAGGCAAGCACACCGCTGGGAGCAAATATGACGGCCCATCTATTCTCACCTCTCAGAAAGCAAGATGATGCTTTTTTCACAGGGTAGCTCTCTGTGACCAAGAGCTAACAATACGTATAAAAGAGCTGTCCCCCTCTCTTTTCAGGTTACTAGAATATAGGTGTGGATGAACTTTATCCACAGACCTAGACTGAGTAACCATAGTTCACGATTCTGGAGTTAAATAACTAGGACAGGTATAGCTTTTTAACTGTTCTTAAGATTCTGATAACCCAGAGTGATTGAGAAATACAGACACAGACTTGTCAGAGGGGTATTTGATACTTTGTGCTGTCAGGGGAAAAATAAAAAGAGTTCCTCTAAAGTGAATGGAAATCAGTTTAGTCCAGGCAACTGGGGAGTCTCCCCTGGACAGCAGTGTGGATGACAACAGGAAGGGGAGGAGATGAATGTTAAACAGAGGAAAGGCAAGTTTGAGTCCAAAGGAAAGAAAGTCCATACTAGCTGGTGTTCTATGGGCATTCCAGTGTTCTACAGTCTAGCAATAAGTTCAAAACCATTTTCAAGAACAAAACTCTGGGCCAGAAGCAAGGTAGCACCATGAATATCTTCTCTTACCTTCTAGATGGTCATGTGTTACCAATCCTAGAGACACCATGAAGGCAAGTTTCTGTGCCAGAGAAACAAGAATGTACTTCAGTTTGTGTTCTCACAAAGCCAACGGGATGATCTAGTTAGACTAGCCAACGGGATGATCCTAGTTAGACTCCCTGGCAAAGCAAATCCAACAGGCTGGTCGCTTGAAGGTCAGCTTCAGCTGACCAAAGAAGAGACATCTTCCAGAGCCACTCTGGAGGCTTTCTGGACTTACAGTGATTAAAAGAGAAGGATTGGGGCCTGTATCTTCTACTTTCTCAATGAAAGAAATTAGCATCTTTGAGTGGCCTAGGTTTTTTTTTTTTCCCCCAGAAAAATCCTCTTACAGGAAAAAGAATTTCACACTCAAAAAACATGCAGAGGCTTGCAAAGAGCCTCCCATACAACAAGCTTCAAATTCTAAGCTTTTCATTTGTCATAACGGGTCATGATTTCTTACATTTTTACTACCAATGACTGGACAATGCTAACTCAGAACTAAGTGAGTTTTAAGAATAACAGCAGGACCCTGGGATCATGACCTGAGCTGAAAATAGATGCCTCAACCATCTGAGCCACCCAGGCACCCCTTTTTAGAGGCAAGAACATGGAAGCAGAGAATGCATAAAATGTTTCAGAATACACTTAGTGGTCCTGAAATGCTATGATATATCTTTTAATATAAGTCTCACCTGAGTACCTGCAGTGTGCCAGACTATGTCTGGCACTGTGGTAGGGACTAGAAATAAAGTATCTTAATTTCAGTAATTTCAGTAAGACATTGGACAGTCTCATGGTACCATGGACAAAATGTAGAAATGTGAATGGCATTCAAGAATAATTTGACAAATTTGTAATAGATTAAATAATGATACCAAAAAAAAGAATAACAGCAGATAGTTCTGTTTAATTCTATGATTTTTAAATCAAACATGGACCTAAAAATTATGGAGCAATCTCTCTTTGGAGACCACTCTCAGGGCTCCATCATAAGTTAAACTGATTAGAATACTGAACCCCAAAGTTGGAACATTAGATGCTTAAAGTTGGAGACAGCAACAAACTGATTCCTGTTTTGCTCTGTGATTGCATGTGGTCTGGAAAGTATGTTCTCATTTGCATGTGGTTGCTAAATATGCCAAATAATGGATCATCAATTTCTCTGATAATAAGGAACATCATCAATTATTAGCAGATGTATTCTTGCAGAATTGTTTATATCACCGTCTGGTCTTTAAAAATCCTGACAGAAAAAAAAAAATCTTGACAGCTTACCCTCAACATTCAATACTAATATATATATATTTTACTATGATATATTTTTTTAAAGATTTATTTATTTCTCATGAGAGACACAGAGAGAGAGGGAGGCAGAGACACAGGCAGAGGGAGAAGCAGGCTCCATGCAGGAAGCCCGATGTGGGGCTTGATCCCAGGACTCGGGATCATGCCCTGAGCCAAAGGCAGATGCTCAACTGCTGAGCCACCCAGGTGTTCCCAATACTATGATATTTTGGCCTGAAGTGATAGGGTCAAACTATTCAAGATACTGAATGTTTTGGGAAGAAACAGTCCCTGAACAAGCCACTTGAGAACACAGAAGTGTCCTTTTCAGGTATCCTCAAAGTTCTGAATAAATGTTTTTATTTTATTCTTATTTCAAAAACTTAGGTAGGAGCCCATCCTCCTGACAGCCAGGGTACTTTAGTAAGAAAAGGCACTCTTACTCTTTAGACTCGCTGCCATACTGCACATTGAAATGGCATATATTTTGTGACTGCCAATTAATTATATTCCTACTTTCACTATTCTCCACAACTTTTTTTTTAAAAGATTTTATTTATTTATTCATGATAGACAGAGAGAGAGAGAGAGAGAGAGAGAGAGAGAGAGAGAGAGGCGCAGAGACACAGGCAGAGGGAGAAACAGGCTCCATGCCAGGAGCCTGACGTGGGACTCGATCCCGGGACTCCAGGATCATGCCCTGGGCCAAAGGCAGGCGCTAAACCGCTGAGCCACCCAGGGATCCCCTATTCTCCACAACTTAATCAAGATTAGAAGGCTGTCTACTAAATCTTTTCTGTTTATAAAGCAGTGTGTGGACTGACATTCAGATGCACCTTCTTTTAATCAAGTGACAGTACTCTTCTTGGCCAGTTACATCCAACACATCTTTGCCAGTCTAGACTGAGCTCACAAAACAATTATTAAATGAAAAAAAAAAATCTCCTCTTCTCTGGAATAGACTTTTAGTGATAAGGAGAATAAAGAGTTGTCAAGGACTTTTGCCTCGTCTATTCATCACATATGTACCAAAAACTAATTTATTTTCTTTATGGCAGTGATTCTTCCCAATTAGAAGGTGAAATATACACCACCATACATAGCAGTACTTGCTTGCCCACACTGGGCCACCAATATAAGATATCCTTTGGTTTCCTCTGGTAATTTTGTGGATGACTTCATTAGTTCCTCAGCGATCTGCAATACTGGTACCTCTTTCTGGTTCAAGTTTTGGTCCCTTCTTTGAAGATAAATCAAAATGAATCCATTTCATATCAGAAAGAATTATAATTTGTATTTGTTTTGGAAAAACATGGGCTAGGGATACCTGGGTGGCTCAGTGGTTGAGCATCTGACTTTGGCTCAGGGAGTGATCCCAGAGTCCCGGGATCGAGTCCCACATCGGGCTCCCTACATGGACTACATGAAGCCTGCTTCTCCCTCTGCCTACTCTGCCTCTCTCTCTGTGTCTCTCACGAATAAATAAAAAAAAAAAAAAAAAGAAAAGAAAAACATGAGCTGGTTTAACTTAACAAGTCACTGCTTTAAAAAAAAATGACATGAAGTTTTGATGGCTTCATGCCACTATTTGACATGGTTTCATTAAAAAGAATGCACTGAACGCAGAAAGAAACAAATTGCTGGTCTAATAAAATCCAACTTTCAGATCTTCATCATCATATTACCTACCTGTCCACATTTTTCTTTTAGAGCTGCTTATGCGAAAGCCAAACTAAAAAATTCTCGTCTAAGGGGACACATAAATTCACATTCTGTATTTGTACCAGTCCTGTTTGCTTCAGAAGTTTGTAATTCTATCCTAAGTTGTAGTATAGATGTTACTATTTTCATCCCTACTTTTATGCTTCAATGAATAACTTTTGGGCTAATGATTCATTGGGAATCTGGTGCAATGCAATGGTAGTAACAAAAATGCACATATAATAACAATAACCCATAACATAAATAGCCCTTAGCTGAGTCAACAGGATGGACCTCTTAGAAATGTTGGCTGAAACAAACAAAACATAATTATCATGTGGAATGTAATGGGATATCTGGGAAAATGATCATTAATCTTACATTTCAAATTTGTAACATTTCATGAAATGCCTATATGCCAGCTCATGAATACTCCAGGTCACACTCTTAATCTGCCTTAGGCCAAACTGACTTAGCAATATATTATTGAATAGTGAGGAAGCACAAGAAAAGGAAAATCAAGAAATTCAGAGTTAAGTATCCCCCCTCCCCCCCTATAAGAATAAGTCACATCTCATAGGCTGAGCCATTCCTTTGGAGGTCTAAGCCTACCTGAGGGTTCTCCTCCCGTTTTGGTTTGGGTGCAGCAGGTGGAGTGATGGTACGGCTCTCTGTTTGTTTCTCATCTGTTTCTGTGTGGGATTTAATTGTCTAGGGAAGGAAAATTAAACGAAAATTCAGAATTCACTTTTTATTAAAAAAAAAATGAAAACACAGTTTAACTGTAGCCAACAAGGAAGAAAAAAAACATACTCAAACTGGAAACATTAATAAAGGAGGTAATATGGATTACAATTTGGAAGGGGAAAGATAAAATATAAGGCCCCAGTTGAAATAACTGTAAAACTAGAGTAGATGTGAATTTATAACTACAAGTCGAAATTATACAAAAAGAAAAGTCCACAGTTTAATTCCTATGTATAAAAATGACTATAGGTTGCTCTGATTTCACTGTATTTTAGGATATAGGGTCAGTTTTCCAGAAGCAAACTCACTCTTGTTACATTTGGGTTAAACTCCAGTTCACAGCATGCTTAAGATCTGAATAATGTAAACAAAAAATTGGACATACACTTTCTTCTATTTCTAATTCCATTCATAACCTAAGAGAAGATGCAGAACTACCCTCACCTGGGATATTTAACATCTGCCTGTATCATTCATTAGAGGAGAGATGCATTTGTCCAGGAAAGGTCATCTTGCAAGAGGCTGACACTCTGATTATCCCCAACCTTGTCTTCCAGATGCATCCATTCAAACAAAAGAACACCCATAGTATTATCATCTCTAAGCACAAATGGCAGCTAGCAAATTGAGCTTGCATTACTATTCTTATTATGACCCAATGGGTAATTCATTCTATGAAGCCCTCTGTAAATACTGAAATGATATTAGAACAGTGGATATAAAATTGTGAACATGAACCTAATTTACTTTTTCAAATTAAAAAAAATGTGGATGCTAATTGTCTTTCTGTATGGCAGCAAGCAATTAAATAAAGGAGAATGAAACTGTCTGATTATTGATGAAGGAAGCTTCGGTTCTATAAGCAGGACATCAAAAGTTCTCAAAAATTATCATGTTGTGAAATATGCTACCAGATCTGAAAAACAAATACAATCATAAAGATCTTTCACTTTCTTTCCTAGCCACTTCCATATTTTCCTCCTGCCTTATGTCAGCATCTGCCTTATCAGTACTATGGCAGCCACTGTTCTGGGACACAAATGCTGCCTGGTAATCTATTTTTCACCAATGCCTTGTCCTATTTCCTCCTCTATACGATAAGCTACTTGAGAGTACACATTGTTCTACACACATTTGCAGTCCTCTGTGCCTACTGTAATGCCTTCTAGAACAAGCATTCACTTCACCTCTCACATACATATGGTTTTTTAACCAAAAAGGGACACATTTCTCCATAAAACAAACCACCAAACACACCTACAAGGGGACACAATGGGAAAGTAGTTTCTACTGTCATCTTTAAGGCCCTGGATGTCCAGAAAGCTTATTTTCACGGCTTTCTGAGTGAGGAAGGGCAGGAGTCTGAGAGAGGGAGGGATAAGCGGTCAACTGGAAGGGTTGCTGCTCCACTCCTAGGCTATATGAAGTTCCTTGAGGTCTCTTGGTTCCATCTCTAAGGCTGAGTGACACAAGTATGACGTCTCTGGGAAAAGGCAAACCAACTCCTCTCTACTAAGAAATTACTCGGTTCAAATTTCTCTCTCTCAAGAAGAGTACAATTGTCTCAGAGTTGAAAAAGAGCACCAAAAGCAGCCGCCCCCCCCCCCCCAAATAAAACAATTAAAACACTGGAGAGAGGTCTTTCTCTCATGGAGCTGTTGCTCTGGGGAAACCAGGCCATTGTGTGATCAGTACTATGCAGAGGTCCATGTGGTGAGGAACTGAATCTCCTGTGCCAGCAGCCAGTGTGAAGTGAGGTCTTCCAACAACTATGTGACTTGAGTTTGGAAGTGAGTTAATCAGTCCCAGTTGAGCCTTGAGATGACTACAGCCCTGGCCAACTTGTTTGAATGCAAACTTGTGGGGGACCTTGAGCCAGAAGCACCCAGCAAGCTGATTCTTGACCCTAGCAAGCTATATAGGATAGTAATATTTGTTGTTTTAAGCTGCTTAAACCAAAAACATTAGGGTTGAGGAGTGAGAAATGGCAGAACAGGGAGCTCTAAGAATTAGTCCTTCCACTGAAGCAATCATTAAGCTGGCAAAAACAGAATCAATTTTTCAGAATTCTGGAATCTAATAAAAACCTTACAGCAACCAGGGGGATACTTACTGAAGAAAGAGGCTGCTAAATTTCACTAAGAAAGCATTTTCCTTACCTACCTACAAACCTCTATTCCATAGCTTGGGCAGAGGCTTTGGGGATGGCAACTTGTGTTCCTAGTGTGGCTTGTTGGTGCCAAGGGAAGCAACATGGACCTTGTTCTCAACAACTTGTGGTTGTATATTTTGACCCATTTTGGTCAGAGGCTGACTTTTGTTTTGCCCACCTTAGAAAGTGGCTTTTGGGGTGGCCTCTGATAAAAGTATCTGAAGACATATGTTAGCCATAGTCATCTAGTACATAGGATGGTAGATGGAGTATACAGGAGATAGATCCAAACCCCAGAAAGGAGGAGGTTGAGGAAGAAGATTCTTTGAAGGGATGTCACATATACCAGGGAATTGAGAGCGTACAGCACATTCCCAGGGCTAGATGTACGCCCAGGAAAGATGTGAGAGAACTCTAGGCTTATACTTCTGGCTGCTCTTTGAGATCTGTCCAAGAAACAGGTGAAGGCTAAGGCAGAGTTATAGATGGCCTGGCTTACCATTAAGAAGTATCCCTGCTCAGAGCCAATCTACAAGATTGGGAAAGGTGTTTTTTCCTTTTCTTTCTTTTTTTTTGTAATTTAGTTATTATTATTTGGTCTTTTTGGCTCCAGTTGTTTAAGGAAATCTGTTGGTTACTAGCTGATCTGAGACAACAGAACAGAGATTTCAGAGACTATACATGACAAGAAATACACTTTTTGCAAAAACAGTTTGGAAAAGGCACTAAAGAGACCTCAACAATCAATAACAGCAAACTCTGGGGTGGGAGGATAATTTAATTTCCAGAGTTATCACATTGTAATTTCAAAATGAACAGTTTAACAAAAAATTGGAAGGCATGCAAAGAAACTGGAAAGTATGGCCCATTTGTAGGAAAAAAGAAATCAAGAGAAACTGGCCTTCATGAAACCCAGACGTTGGACTCTCTAGAGAAAGACTAAATGTCTTAAATATGCTCAAAAAGCTAATGGACACCATGGACAAAGAACTGAAGGAACCCAGGAGAACAATTTCTCACCAGAAAGACACTATCAATACAGAGACAGAAAGTAGTGAAAGGAACTAAATAGAAACTCTGGAGCTGAAACATATAAAAGCTTAAATGAAAAATTCACTAGATGGGTTCAGACAAAAGAATTAGTGAACTTCAAGACATGACAATGGAAATTATCCAGTTTGAGGAACAGAAAGGAAAAACATGAAGAAAAATGAACAGAGCCTATGGGACCTGTGGGACGTTATCAACATATGTGTTATGGGCTCCCAGGGGGAGAGAAGAGACAGAGAAAGCAGCATAAATAATACTTGAAGGAATAACAGCTCAAAATGTCCCAATTTGATGAAAGATAAGAATCTACACATCCAAGAAACTCAGTGACATCCATACAGAATAACCTAAAAGAGATTTGCAGTCTGGGGAACGATGGTAGAGTAGAAGGACCCTGAGCTCTCTCTGTCCCTACACTAGATACCAACCACATCCAAGTCAATAAACTGGAGAACAATCTGAAGACTGGAAGAACAAAGTCCACAACTAAATAAACAGAAGCAGCTGGATCTGAAAGGTTAGGAGGTTCAGAAGGGTGGAAGTAGGCTGCCTGCAGGAGGGAGGGAGATGGCATGTGGAGATGGCAGGGAAATGGGCCCTCGCATCAGGGAGCTCACATGTGGGAAGACTGATCCCCACAATGTTTGGCTTCAAAAGCGGGACTGAATTCCCTAAGTTTTTTAAACCAGTGGCACTTGGGGCCTGGAACTTTAGAAGTTGGCTGGCTTAGCACTGAGAAAGCCAGAAGGGTGAGTGAAAGCTAAGTCAACACCCTTAAAGAGACAGAAGCCTGAGCCAAGAGGCAAAATAAAAATGGCAATTTGCACAATACAGGGGACAAACGGGAGACAGATCTGTTCATACTGATTGTGGAAGATGTTAGCGGACTTCTCCAAAAACAAAGGAGTTGGCAGGTGTGCCTTTTCTACCTCTCCACCCCCCCCCACAAAGCTGCAGGAGGCAGTGCTACACAGATGCTACCTAATCAGCTAGCAAGGCACAATACCCCAAAAGTTCTCCAGGTGACTGGCCCACTGCAAGCCTGCTAGCCTTGGCCCTAGGCTAGAGACAGATTTTGTTAGTGTATATGCCCCACCCAGCCACTGTGTGCAGCATGCTCCACGGTCATGCACCAGGCCCACCCACACCCAGCCTCACTCCACTGGCCACCCCAGCATGCAGGCCCTGCAGCACTTTGGGAGATTCATCACAGAACTAGTGGCCCAGTGAAAATTGCACTACCACCACCATCACCCTCACAAGTTCCCCAGTGGGCACAACCCCTCAGAACTAGCCTGCCTGGATCCCACTGACACCTTAGGGAGCAAGCACAGCCTAGAGAGACAAGGGCAGATGACTGCACTGAAAAGAAAAGTGACTTCAGACTCAACAGCAGGGCATAAGCAACACATAGGATACTCTTCTGAAGTGCCAGGTTCTGGGAAACAGGGGATATTGCACTGCAGGGCATTCTAGAACCTCTTCTTCATAAAGTCATGACTTTCAAGAACAGAAGGCAGAGCTGACTTTCTTAACACACAGGAACGGACAAAATGAGGAGACAGGCATTTACCCATCCCAAATGAAGGAATAAGACAAGGCCACAGCCAGAGATCTAAGCAAAACAGATGTAAGTAATATGCCTGAGAGAGAATTTAAAGCCACGATCACAAGGATGGAGAAAAGAATGGAAGATATGAATGAGACCCTTAACATAGACATAAGGAACAACATAGCAGAGACAAACGGTTCACTAAATGAA